GTAAGGTAGTGTGAGACGTACAAGCTGTACAGAGAGTTGGGAGACATACTTAGACTGTGTACAGCTGTAACGTAGTGTGAGACGTACAAGCTGTACAGAGAGTTGGGAGACATACATAGACTGTGTACAGCTGTAACGTAGTGTGAGACGTACAAGCTATACAGAGTTTTGGGAGACATACATAGACTGTGTACAGCTGTAACGTTGTGTGAGACGTACAAGCTGTACAGAGAGTTGGGAGACATACATAGACTGTGTACAGCTGTAACGTAGTGTGAGACGTACAAGCTGTACAGAGAGTTGGGAGACATACATAGACTGTGTACAGCTGTAATGTTGTGTGAGACGTACAAGCTATACAGAGAGTTGGGAGACATACATAGACTGTGTACAGCTGTAATGTAGTGTGAGACGTACAAGCTGTACAGAGAGTTGGGAGACACACATATACTGTGTACAGCTGTAACGTAGTGTGAGACGTACAAGCTATACAGAGAGTTGGGAGACATACATAGACTGTGTACAGCTGTAATGTAGTGTGAGACGTACAAGCTGTACAGAGAGTTGGGAGACATACATAGACTGTGTACAGCTGTAATGTAGTGTGAGACGTACAAGCTATACAGAGAGTTGGGAGACATACATAGACTTTGTACAGCTGTAACGTAGTGTGAGACGTATAAGCTGTACAGAGAGTTGGGAGACATACATAGACTGTGTACACCTGTAATGTAGTGTGAGACGTACACGCTATACAGAGAGTTGGGAGACATACATAGACTGTTTACACCTGTAAGGTAGTGTGAGACGTACAAGCTGTACAGAGAGTTGGGAGACATACATAGACTGTGTACAGCTGTAAGCTAGTGTGAGACGTACACGCTATACAGAGAGTTGGGGGACATACATAGACAGTGTACACCTGTAATGTTGAGAGAGAAGCTTGAGGACAACGACTACGGTTTAGTCACACAGAGAGGCAGCACACTTGTGACTGATCAGCATGCCTAGTTTAGGATGTTACATACTTCCAATGATATTCCGTGCTTGCATGAGTTGAAACAGGTCCCCGGTCCCCGATTGCAGGTGGTAGGAAGTGACCAAAGGTCATGGTATATGTGGAACATTGTTGAGTGCGGCGTCACGCAATATTCACCCACTGACTCATTATTTCATTGCTCCATTTAATATTATAAAGCAGCGTATATTTATGATGAATATGTCACTAAAATGATTGTTGAAATTATTTATATCATCATCATGACTATTATAATTTTGCTCATTTCTGTGTAACTAACACCATGTGTATTTCTTGTCTGTGTGCCATGTTGTGCAGTACGTGAACTTACTGTGCTCCTCTACCATATATTCACGCAGTGACTCAACTTGAAACCATGATATGATATGCGCATAGGCTTCTGGTGCAAAATTGAGGCTCTGCTTTGAACGTTCTACAATGTGGGTTTGCCATTTTATCACTGCGGCAATCATGTGGTTTCCGTACACACCCTTACTGTACACGTGTGTGTTGCAGGTACTGTATGTGCAGTGCACGTAGACACCCTCACTGTACACGTGTGTGTTGCAGGTACTTTATTTGCAGTGCACATACACAACCTCACTGTACACGTGTGTGTGCAGGTACTGTATGTGCAGTCCACGTACACAACCTCACTATACACGTGTGTGTTGCAGGTACTTTATTTGCAGTGCACATAGACACCCTCACTGTACACGTGTGTGTTGCAGGTACTGTATGTGCAGTGCACGTAGACACCCTCACTGAACACGTGTGTGTTGCAGGTACTGTATGTGCAGTGCACATAGACACCCTCACTGTACACGTGTGTGTTGCAGGTACTGTATGTGCAGTGCACGTAGACACCCTCACTGTACACGTGTGTGTTGCAGGTACTGTATGTGCAGTGCACATACACAACCTCACTGTACACGTGTGTGTTGCAGGTACTTTATTTGCAGTGCACGTTGACACCCTCACTGTACACGTGTGTGTTGCAGGTACTGTATGTGCAGTGCACGTAGACACCCTCACTGTACACGTGGGTGTTGCAGGTACTGTATGTGCAGTGCACGTTGACACCCTCACTGTACACGTGTGTGTTGCAGGTACTGTATGTGCAGTGCACGTACACAACCTCACTGTACACGTGTGTGTTGCAGGTACTTTATTTGCAGTGCACGTTGACACCCTCACTGTACATGTGTGTGTTGCAGGTACTATGTGCAGTGCACGTAGACACCCTCACTGTACACGTGTGTGTTGCAGGTACTGTATGTGCAGTGCACGTACACAACCTCACTGTACACGTGTGTGTTGCAGGTACTTTATTTGCAGTGCACGTTGACACCCTCACTGTACACGTGTGTGTTGCAGGTACTGTATGTGCAGTGCACGTAGACACCCTCACTGTACACGTGTGTGTTGCAGGTACTTTTTTGCAGTGCACGTAGACACCTGAAGAAGACTATCACAACTATACATAAGTGTATCCCACCTGACGTGGATAAAACACTATTTTAAATCAATACACTGTCCTATGCTCAACGCTGCAGAAATTCCAATTTCATATGCTTCGCCATCTTAATGACTGAAAACAGTATCTCACTCCAAAGTACACTGATTAATAACATCTAGTTCATTCATGAGAGATATTCTCTCTATGTGTGTATATACATGTAAGTAGTGAATGTTGATGAGTGAGTGAGTGAGTGAGTCTCTCTGTGTGTACAAATGGCCTTCAAAAATAGAAACGAGTTTGGAAAGCACCAGAACAGGAAGTGAAACATGTCATAGCCGTGAAGGTCTGAGATGGACGTGAAACGGAATGAAATAAAACACAGGAGAGCACGTGGATATTGAGGATGACAGAATATGAATAATTTAATAATTGTGTTATACAGATATCCAGACACAGTCCATCAAGGCAAGTATGTGTTAATAGTTTGTAAACACCTGATATGCATTCTACCCATTATTCCGATTAATTAATCTGTTCATCGTTTGTAATGGCAGGAAGATTTATGTGATAAACACGGGAACATGGCTTGTTTCAGTGCAGTAAGTGTGACCATTGTTTCATATCTGCATTATCTTTTCGATCAGATAAATTAAGATAATATATAAACATTCAGAGACATTTACTGAATCATACTTTTGTGCGTTGTATCATGAATATTAATCACGACACACACAAGTGCCACAGAAAGTTTTAAGGTCTCGTATAAGAGTTTACCATCCTCGAAAATGATCATATATACACGTTGCATAAGTTAAGCATCACCCGATGTTTATATTCATATGTGAGCTAGCTCATCACAAAGAACAACGAAAAACGAGGCCTGGTTTATTTCTACCATGGCATCATTTCTGTGTATTCGAACACATGATCCCAACCTGAAGATGTTGTACATTGGATGACGCTATTTTTGAGAGGGTAGTGAGTTGTTGCCCTTAGATGTATCTGGGCAACGCAGATAAGCACAATGGCCGAACGATCTCACCCAAAAATGGGCCAGATATATCAATCTGTAATGGGAGAAAAGGTACAAATAATGGCTGTCTATAGTTTGTGTTTGTGAGAATATTCAGGAAATATCGATTTCTTTTTAGATATTGCCGGTAGGCATATTTAAATAATTATATCTACATATATAGGTTACAAAATGCAAAATTGCGTTTACTATGGTTTTCAAAGGATGTGTGGCAATACATTTCGTGCAGAAAACATGATAGAAACCTACAAACTGTATTGTAGTTGTTTTTGTTGTCAGCAATATTCCAGCTATATGACGGCGGTCTGTAAATAATCGAGTCTGGATCAGACAATCCAGTGATTGGCAGCATGAGCTTCGATCCACGCAGTTAGAATACAGTCCGCGAGCCTGACCACAATATCCCGTAAGTCGCCTCTTACGACAAGCATAGTCGCTTTTTACGGTAAGCATTGGTGCTGAAGGCCTTTTCTACCCCGGATCTTCACGGGTAAGAATGTATTGTACGTTTTGGGGACAACAGAGATAATTTGGCACATTTCTATATACAACTGTGACGTCATATCTTTTGCGTCACAATGAGTGATATGACGTGATAATGGTGACGTGCGGTGTAGAACGAATGCTTTGCAAAGCCTGCTTAGATTCCTTTAGGGGTTCCCACCTCATGCTTTCATATGTTCGAGTGAAGTATTACGATCTAAACAAACTGCTTGAGCACATGTAACGCCATTAAAAACACAGCATGTTTATATCCTCAATAAAACAATGCAGGGAGAATACACCACGCAGCCCCTCCTAATTTATTCGCTCTGCAGAGTTTCACTGAACGATAAACACACACACACACACACACACACACACACACACACACACACACACACACACACACACACACACACACACACACACATACACACATTATGGATTATACGACATCATGAGTATGAGTCAGTGAATCACTAACAAATAGCGATGATACCATCTGTTCGCGAAAAGGTGAGCGTGTCCTGCCCAACCGGTGGCACCTGTCACAAACACATGCAGAAGCAAGTCAATTGTTAGCTTAAAAAACACGGAAACAAATGGTACAAGTCACGATAGGGAATAGCATCGGATATCATTTCAAATTTGGAAATGTCTTCCACATGTCTAACATAAAAATCTTCACTGATGCCTTGAATTTTGTAACCTTGATCAAACACCTCCTGAGCTCGGTTGTATCTCAAAACACCAAGGGCTGGAGCTGCAGGAATATTGCTAAACATGAAGGGGAAGTTGATGATTGGAATATTGAAGTCATCCCTCCTGTCATACAGGAAGCAGTTGAAAGGGTAATAAAGTGGATGATCGATTTCTATAATCTCTGTATTTCAATATTTTACACAATGTACCCATGTGGGGAATCGAACCCTGATCTTTGGCGTAACGAGCGAACGCTTTAACCACTAAACTACCACACCAGCCCACATGTATTACAAACTCACCTTTCTGTCCTAGAATGCCACACGTACTCCCTGCTACAAGATATACATACAGGCCTATAAGCCTGTCCATGTCGGTGTCTCACCGCAAACAACTCATACACGCATTGCAAAGTCAGAAGAAAAAGGACTGTTATCTCTCCAGCAAATAGGGACATCACGAAACCTTTCAAACACCGACACCTTAGAATCGATCAGATTTCTACAAATCTTATTTATAGGACTAAGGCGAGATTAAGAAAAAGGAATCATTACTAAATCATCTACGTGGATGACAAGGTTTAATCTGGGCAGCGGACGGAGTGGCGCGGAGCTCATCTCCTGTGGGAGTTGGCCATCTGAGGCCCTAGGGTATTGCAGAAACACTGTCAGACATGGCCATACGTCATGTCGCCGCTCCTGGGCCTCCCTGAAAGCAAGGTGACTAGGACAGGATCTGGGATTAGAAAACAAACATAATGTCTCACATTGTACCAAAAACAATTTGCTCTACAGGCTCGATCAGAATTTTTTATCGATCTATATTACAAGGCTCCGTACTTTAATTATCAAGCGTTGCCGTGAAATTTTCGGGTGTCCATGCTGCAATATCTGTCAAAATTGGACTGATTCCAATAAATTACAAAACTGCTTTTCTGTTTATCATAGTTATAAGATTAATATTGAAACCCAAGAGCACGGGTATGGTGCTGACAAACCTAGAAACATAATAGGGGCGAACCGGGGTTGGGACCCACAATCACAAGTTGGTGACGTGCCCAAGGGAGGCAACTCTGCACAGCGAATTACGGCGCCTTTGACGACTGTGCCGCCCGTGTGCCCTCATTATAATAAGCCCATGGTACATATTTTGTAATTGTCATGAGGCTTTTTACTATCCCCTTTAACGGCTTAATTCCTCTGATTCTTTGCACCAAATACAAAAGGTCAACGTACGTTGGGATACAAGCAGACAGGGGTGTTGGAAATCAAATGCAGTACATTGCTATTACACCCATCACGTGGCCATGTGTGGTCGCTAGTACTTGGAGTAGCCAAATTCCGGAGTACCTTTATGAATACTTAACCTTTAATTTGTCAACCCCTCCCTCTGTGCAACATGACAAAGAGTGGTCGCGCACGTGGCTATGGTCAGTGGTTGCTATAGATACCTTGGTAACTGAGTGGGTCATTGGATTGTACACTGTGATCAGCAGCCCTCAGTGGTGTAAGATCTTCATCAGATGTGAGCTGAGGTGAATGGGGTTTAACGTCGCGTTCAAGATTATTGCACTTATCAAGCAACTTTCGCGCGCGTGCGTGTGTGTGTGTGTGTGTGTGTGTGTGTGTGTGCGTGTGTGCGTGTGTGCGTGTCCTGACTAAGATTATGATTTTTAATAACGCTAGCCAACTGAGTTACCTAGCCGCAGTTTAAAATGAATACCCCATTCAGACACTGTATACTGACTCCCAGTCCTTGTTTTAGGCCCTTTATGCCGAACGTCAGGCAAGGTAACAACAAATACAATCTTTTGACGTCTTTTGGTTTAACGCGGCCAGGGATTGAACCTTCGACCTCCCGCTCTCCACTAGACCACGGAGGCGGTCGATCTTCATGAGATATTTCTATAGATGTGCAATGCTCATCATGATCAGGTGTCAATTCTGAAACTTGATCTGGAATGAAGGTTACAAGTTAAAAGACCGTCCTTGCCCTTACTGTTAATATTCTAAAAAATATAGCTGGAATACTTTTAATGGCGATATAAAAAGTGGCCAAGATCCCTGTGGCAAACAGAACAATAATTTGTGAGGATGGATACTCTCAACTAGTCCTTATAAAGTTATATTTTGAGTGAGTGAATTGGGTTTAACTCCGCTTTGAACATTATTCCAGTTATATAACGGCGCTTAATGCAGGAGGAAATCCTAGAGTGATGCAGATCACCACTTTGGTGGAACCCATAAACACGGGTTGGAGGGACCAGACTTGTTGCGACAATGTATGGGATTAAACTCAAGCAAGTCTTCACTATAAATCGGTCTGGAATGTCTGACAGTTATCTCATTTGGATAGCACATTTTTGTTAAATAACTTGTAAAAGTATTTTGCTTTCTGCTGAGCGTGTTACCCATTTTATTATAAATGGTACAGAATTACATGTGGAGAGAGAAAAATATATTATTGCGATAAAAGAAAGTCACCCAAATGAGGAAAAGATACTTGAAGCAACTAGGTACACAATTAAAATCTGCCAAGTACTATATGTGGCCTTTGTTTGATCAAGGTCACTTTATTAAGCAGGTGTGCAAGATTCCATACGACCTAGCCACCTCATATGAGCGAACGTTCGGAGGGAGCTTAATACTACGATCCCAACAATGCAAGCAAGCAAGCGCGGCAGTGGAAACCAAACAACAAAGAGAAGCCCACAGAACCTTGTTCTATCCTTCACTCAAAACATTTAACCAACATGGGGATTAGAACCTCAACATGCGACATGATATTTTGAGACTGTTCTACACAAATTGTCTTCATGCACACCTCCTGCATTGAGGCCTTATGGATAGAATGGTAAGATTTTCAAAGCCAGATTTTGGAAAGATTTCAGACTTTGCATGTGCACATCATCATGAATGAGATAATTACTTATTACAATGCTACAAAGGTAATGTCATTTACAAATTGTAACTATGCAAACTTTTTTGAGTCTCGTGTCTTTCTTCCTAATTTTGTTTAAAAATCAATATGTAATACATACTGATACAGTCACGTTGACTTTATAGGCAAGAATTTATATCTATAATATATACCACAATTTTATTGACATGACATGTGTATATATATGCTGTACCTGCGGAGGTGAATACAGAGGGAAAGAAAAGTTTCTTCTTCCTCAGTGTTCCAGGCTATCAGTGGCAGGAAGCACTGTTTGAACAGTCTTAGATGTGCGTCTCTGTTTCCTCTTTCTCAGTGTTCCAGGCTATCAGTGGCAGGAAGCACTGTTTGAGCAGTCTTAGTTGTACGTCTCTGTTTCATCTTTCTCAGTGTTCCAGGCTATCAGTGGCAGGAAGCACTGTTTGAACAGTCTTAGATGTGCGTCTCTGTTTCCTCTTTCTCAGTGTTCCAGGCTATCAGTGGCAGGAAGCACTGTTTGAGCAGTCTTAGATGTGCGTCTCTGTTTCCTCTTTCTCAGTGTTCCAGGCTATCAGTGGATGGAAGCAATGCCTGAGCAGTCTCAGATGTCCCTCTCTGTTTCCTCTTTCTCGGTGTTCCAGGCTATCAGTGGATGGAAGCACTGCCCGAGCAGTCTCAGATGTGCGTCTCTGTTTCCTCTTTTTCAGTGTTCCAGGCTATCAGTGGATGGAAGCACTGCCCGAGCAGTCTCAGATGTGCGTCTCTGTTTCCTCTTTCTCAGTGTTCCAGACTATCAGTGGATGGAAGCAATGCCTGAGCAGTCTCAGATGTGCGTCTCTGTTTCCTCTTTCTCAGTGTTCCAGACTATCAGTGGATGGAAGCAATGCCTGAGCAGTCTCAGATGTGCGTCTCTGTTTCCTCTTTCTCAGTGTTCCAGACTATCAGTGGATGGAAGCACTGCCCGAGCAGTCTCAGATGTGCGTCTCTGTTTCCTCTTTCTCAGTGTTCCAGACTATCAGTGGATGGAAGCAATGCCTGAGCAGTCTCAGATGTGCGTCTGTTTCCTCTTTCTCAGTGTTCCAGGCTATCAGTGGACGGAAGCAATGCCTGAGCAGTCTCAGATGTGCGTCTCTGTTTCATCTTTCTCGGTGTTCCAGGGTATCAGTGGCAGGAAGCACTGTTTGAGCAGTCTCAGATGTGCGTCTCTGTTTCCTCTTTCTCAGTGTTCCAGGCTATCAGTGGATGGAAGCACTGCCCGAGCAGTCTCAGATGTATGTCTCTGTTTCCTCTTTCTCAGTGTTCCAGGCTATCAGTGGATGGAAGCACTGCCCGAGCAGTCTCAGATGTGCGTCTCTGTTTCCTCTTTCTCAGTGTTCCAGACTATCAGTGGATGGAAGCACTGCCCGAGCAGTCTCAGATGTGCGTCTCTGTTTCCTCTTTCTCAGTGTTCCAGGCTATCAGTGGATGGAAGCACTGCCCGAGCAGTCTCAGATGTGCGTCTCTGTTTCCTCTTTCTCAGTGTTCCAGACTATCAGTGGATGGAAGCACTGCCCGAGCAGTCTCAGATGTGCGTCTCTGTTTCCTCTTTCTCAGTGTTCCAGGCTATCAGTGGATGGAAGCAATGCCTGAGCAGTCTCAGATGTGCGTCTGTTTCCTCTTTCTCAGTGTTCCAGGCTATCAGTGGATGGAAGCAATGCCTGAGCAGTCTCAGATGTGCGTCTCTGTTTTATCTTTCTCGGTGTTCCAGGGTATCAGTGGCAGGAAGCACTGTTTGAGCAGTCTCAGATGTGCGTCTCTGTTTCCTCTTTCTCAGTGTTCCAGGCTATCAGTGGATGGAAGCACTGCCCGAGCAGTCTCAGATGTATGTCTCTGTTTCCTCTTTCTCAGTGTTCCAGGCTATCAGTGAATGGAAGCACTGCCCGAGCAGTCTCAGATGTGCGTCTCTGTTTCCTCTTTCTCAGTGTTCCAGACTATCAGTGGATGGAAGCAATGCCCGAGCAGTCTCAGATGTGCGTCTCTGTTTCCTCTTTCTCAGTGTTCCAGACTATCAGTGGATGGAAGCAATGCCTAAGCAGTCTCAGATGTGCGTCTGTTTCCTCTTTCTCAGTGTTCCAGGCTATCAGTGAATGGAAGCACTCCCCGAGCAGTCTCAGATGTGCGTCTCTGTTTCCTCTTTCTCAGTGTTCAAGGCTATCAGTGGATGGAAGCACTGCCCGAGCAGTCTCAGATGTGCGTCTCTGTTTCCTCTTTCTCAGTGTTCCAGACTATCAGTGGATGGAAGCAATGCCTGAGCAGTCTCAGATGTGCGTCTCTGTTTCCTCTTTCTCAGTGTTCCAGACTATCAGTGGATGGAAGCAATGCCCGAGCAGTCTCAGATGTGCGTCTCTGTTTCCTCTTTCTCAGTGTTCCAGACTATCAGTGGATGGAAGCACTGCCCGAGCAGTCTCAGATGTGCGTCTCTGTTTCCTCTTTCTCAGTGTTCCAGGCTATCAGTGGATGGAAGCACTGCCCGAGCAGTCTCAGATGTGCGTCTCTGTTTCCTCTTTCTCAGTGTTCCAGACTATCAGTGGATGGAAGCAATGCCCGAGCAGTCTCAGATGTGCGTCTCTGTTTCCTCTTTCTCAGTGTTCCAGACTATCAGTGGATGGAAGCAATGCCTAAGCAGTCTCAGATGTGCGTCTGTTTCCTCTTTCTCAGTGTTCCAGGCTATCAGTGAATGGAAGCACTCCCCGAGCAGTCTCAGATGTGCGTCTCTGTTTCCTCTTTCTCAGTGTTCCAGGCTATCAGTGGATGGAAGCACTGCCCGAGCAGTCTCAGATGTGCGTCTCTGTTTCCTCTTTCTCAGTGTTCCAGACTATCAGTGGATGGAAGCAATGCCTGAGCAGTCTCAGATGTGCGTCTCTGTTTCCTCTTTCTCAGTGTTCCAGACTATCAGTGGATGGAAGCACTGCCCGAGCAGTCTCAGATGTGCGTCTCTGTTTCCTCTTTCTCAGTGTTCCAGACTATCAGTGGATGGAAGCAATGCCTGAGCAGTCTCAGATGTGCGTCTGTTTCCTCTTTCTCAGTGTTCCAGGCTATCAGTGGACGGAAGCAATGCCTGAGCAGTCTCAGATGTGCGTCTCTGTTTCATCTTTCTCGGTGTTCCAGGGTATCAGTGGCAGGAAGCACTGTTTGAGCAGTCTCAGATGTGCGTCTCTGTTTCCTCTTTCTCAGTGTTCCAGGCTATCAGTGGATGGAAGCACTGCCCGAGCAGTCTCAGATGTATGTCTCTGTTTCCTCTTTCTCAGTGTTCCAGGCTATCAGTGGATGGAAGCACTGCCCGAGCAGTCTCAGATGTGCGTCTCTGTTTCCTCTTTCTCAGTGTTCCAGGCTATCAGTGGATGGAAGCAATGCCTGAGCAGTCTCAGATGTGCGTCTGTTTCCTCTTTCTCAGTGTTCCAGGCTATCAGTGGATGGAAGCAATGCCTGAGCAGTCTCAGATGTGCGTCTCTGTTTCATCTTTCTCGGTGTTCCAGGGTATCAGTGGCAGGAAGCACTGTTTGAGCAGTCTCAGATGTGCGTCTCTGTTTCCTCTTTCTCAGTGTTCCAGGCTATCAGTGGATGGAAGCACTGCCCGAGCAGTCTCAGATGTATGTCTCTGTTTCCTCTTTCTCAGTGTTCCAGGCTATCAGTGAATGGAAGCAATGCCCAAGCAGTCTCAGATGTGCGTCTCTGTTTCCTCTTTCTCAGTGTTCCAGGCTATCAGTGGATGGAAGCACTGCCCGAGCAGTCTCAGATGTATGTCTCTGTTTCCTCTTTCTCAGTGTTCCAGGCTATCAGTGAATGGAAGCAATGCCCGAGCAGTCTCAGATGTGCGTCTCTGTTTCCTCTTTCTCAGTGTTCCAGGCTATCAGTGGATGGAAGCACTGCCCGAGCAGTCTCAGATGTGCGTCTCTGTTTCCTCTTTCTCAGTGTTCCAGACTATCAGTGGATGGAAGCACTGCCCGAGCAGTCTCAGATGTGCGTCTCTGTTTCCTCTTTCTCAGTGTTCCAGGCTATCAGTGGATGGAAGCAATGCCTGAGCAGTCTCAGATGTGCGTCTGTTTCCTCTTTCTCAGTGTTCCAGGCTATCAGTGGATGGAAGCACTGCCCGAGCAGTCTCAGATGTATGTCTCTGTTTCCTCTTTCTCAGTGTTCCAGGCTATCAGTGAATGGAAGCACTGCCCGAGCAGTCTTAGATGTACGTCTCTGTTTCTTCTTACGTGGTGTCCCAGGCTATCACTGGATGGAAGCACAGTTTGAGCAGTCAGATGAAAGTCTGTTTCTCTTCTTTTCTCAGTGCTCCATGCTATTAATGGATTGAAGCATTGTTTGAGCAGTCTGAGATGTACGTCTCTGTTTCTTCTTTTGCGGTGTACCAGGGGATTAGTGGATTGAAGCACTGTTTGAGCAATCTGAGATGTACATTTCTGTGAGTTCTTTCTCAGTGCTCCAGGCTATCAGTGGAAGGAGGCACTATTTCAGTAGTCTTAAAAGTACATCTACGTTTCTTTTTATGGTGGAAGCCCATCTGTGCAAAGAACAATCATCATTATTAGAGTTTTGACTTCAATCCTTTCTTGTGATTTGTTGCTTTTGTATTGAACATACAATAAACAATTATCTCTTTGAAAGCATTTATTCACAATTGAAGTCCCTCATGCTCTACATTCATTCTCCCATGACATCAACTGACAGTCTGTGGTTATTGTTTAGTGAGTGGTGGTGACATCGGAACTGGCCCGAGATCCTACTACAATTAATTCACACATCAACCTTATTGTCATATACTGTTAGCATTTATTACATTCGAAAATACCACAGACTGAAAAACCATAAAATAGTTACCTTACTCAGATTCATTTCGATGCGATGTATTCTTTGTTAACATGCGTGAGAGAGTTAGGTTTAACGCCGCTTTTAACAGTATTCCAGTTATATCGCAGCGTGTCAGCTTAATGTGGGAGGAAAGCAGGTCTCAGACGTTTACCACTTCGGTGAATCCCACGAGCACAGGTATGGTGCTGACAAACCTAGAAACATAATCGGGGCGAACCGGGATTCGAACCCACAATCATAGGTTTCTGGCGTGCCCAAGGGAGGCAACTCTGCACAGCGAATCGCGGCGCCTTAGATGACTGGGCCACCCGTGCCCCCCCTTTGTTAACATGATTCAAGCAGTATTAATGATCTTCTGTTGCAATATAGCACTTGTGTCAGCTAATCAAGATGTTTGATACAATATCTACCACATTTACAACAGGATCTCAAACTTTCTACCCGCCTTACATTCAGCTGCCTTAGGGGATAAAGTCACATGTCCATCCAAAAAGTCACATGTCAACACAAAAAGGCACATGTCAACCCAAAAAGTCACATGTCAACCCCAAAAGTCACGTGTCAACCTATGAAGTCACATGTCAATCCATGAAGTCACATGTCAACCCATGAAGTCACATGTCAAACCCATGAAGTCACATGTCAACCCAAAAAGTCACATGTCAAACCCATGAATTCACGTCAACCCATTAAGTCACATGTCAAACCCATGAAGTCACATGTCAAACCCATGAAGTCACATGTCAACCCATGAAGTCACATATCAACCCAAAAAGTCACATGTCAAACCCATGAAGTCACATGTCAACCCATGAAGTCACATGTCAACCCAAAAAGTCACATGTCAAACCCATGAAGTCACATGTCAAACCCATGAAGTCACATGTCAACCCATGAAGTCACATGTCAACCCATGAAGTCACATGTCAACCCATGAAGTCACATGTCAAACCCATGAAGTCACATGTCAGGCCATGAAGTCACATGTCAACATAGGACCTTACAGTAAGAATATGGAACAAGGAACTCACACAACACACGCCACTGTGGAACCTTACAACTGTCATCAGTGTTCTTATTAGTGTTCCTATCAGTATTATGCAAAGTTACAAAGTTACTATTAATCACCAGCGTATGCTGTGCAAGAGTCAAGGTTCAGAATATGAAAGCTTCATAAACAGACTTGTATTTGTAACAGGGATGCACCGTCACGTTGACATGATACACAATGTATCAAGGTAGGACTACAATACACAAGAACCTGATAATTTAATCACCTCAGACAATTAACTTTTACACTGATAAATAGAATATAATTCATTGCTTCATGACCTCATGCCATAATACTCCTAGCATGGAGAGGCTTACGGATTCAGCTCAAGGAAGTCCAAGAAACCTGCCATTTGGTACTTCTTCATCACAGACAGTGATGTCACTCTACTGCACCCCAATGCCTGTGTAGAACATTTTGTCATCACGGACAGTGATGTCACTCTACTGCACCCCAATGCCTGTGTAGAACATTTTGTCATCACGGACAGTGATGTCACTCTACTGCACCCCAATGCCTGTGTAGAACATTTTGTCATCACGGACAGTGATGTCACTCTACTGACCCCAATGCCTGTGTAGAACATTTTGTCATCACGGACAGTGATGTCACTCTACTGCACCCCAATGCCTGTGTAGAACATTTTGTCATCACGGACAGTGACGTCACTCTACTGCACCCCAATCCCTGTGTAGAACATTTTGTCATCACGGACAGTGATGTCACTCTACTGCACCCCAATACCTGTGTAGAACATTTTGTCATCACTGACAGTTGTGGTCACTTCAGAAGCCTCATTATGTTTCCCTCACTTCATATAAGGGTGCCATTTTAATTATGCTCAAAGATTAACTAGGCTACATATTGAGAATGTTTATCCATGTGCATCAGGACTATTGATCCATATACAGTAGAACATGACTATAAACGAACACGGTTTTAACATAATAACACCTATGGTAACTGTTTCTTAAGTCCTGACTGCTATATATTATCATGTAAAATTCATGTGAGTAACACATTCTGAGTCATAACTCTTAATATATTCTAACATGAGTGACAAACTCCATCAGTGTCAGTCCGCAGTGAACCATCAAACGTACATGGAATAATCTCACTGTAGTTCAGTACACAAACAGATTAGTGAAACTGAGTGAGTTTCAATTACTATCATCTGTGAATCGACACTGAATCCAATCTGCAACGTATCAACATTGCCACTACAGTAAACAAACTGATTAGTGAATCTCAATTGGTATAAATTACTTTTGTCTGTGAGTCAACACTGAAATTGTGACAGTTTACATTCGCAGCCTTCACGTATGATCCTAAAGATAAATACTCAATACCTTTCCCCATCACCTTTGTTCTCCGAGGCCACCAGTACTCTAGTATTTGTCTGTACTTTAGTATCTCTCTGTACTTCAGTATCTATCAGTACTCTAGTATCTGTCACTATTCTTGTATCTGTCAGTACTCTGGTATATAAGCACGTGTAATGACTGACTGATGTCACACACACAATCACACTCAGTCACACAGACAGTCACACAGACAGTCACACATAGTCACACAATGGGTCTGGTCCATGAGGACCTGGCCAGGTTCCTGACACAGCATGTTAATTCTTTTCTGGGCAAGTTAACATCCATGGGGTAAATCTAAAATGTTGACCCACACGTAAACATGCTAGGAGAGTGTTGAAAGTAATTGGTCCAATCAAATTTCATGATTCAGAGTAAACTTCCACTTCCTCCAATGGCATGCTGCAACACAAGTGAGCGGTGTTCATTATCTGAAGTGCAACTTCCATCCCAGCAAGTACTGTCCACGTAATGATCTATGGCAGTTTAATAAAACATCCCTGCTTGACATCATCAATCCTGTGTTATGTCTCCTGTAGAAGAACATTGGTTGCCATGGAAATATCATTGTTGGTAACCTGGAGAGCATGCCTTACTCGGTCCTGGCTAAATCCCATCTCTACAAGTCGTTGCACCTACAAGGAGAAAACCAAACTAGCTACAAAAAACAACAATTGTACAAATGTTTAAGTTCAGTTAAGCTATAGCAGCATGATCCACATGCAGTGTTTGAAACTGAGGGGGTCCTGAGGTTTGTGAGGTTTGCTGTTATGGTATTTGAATCTGGGGACCCCCTAACTCTTTCACTTTGACCTCAGGTCTACGACAACCTTGACATTCATGCCTAACAGTGTTGGTGGTATGAGGGTTCTAAGTCTAACAAAAAAATCCAACAATTGTGAAGGTGTTTTTAATTACAGTGAAGCTTTTCAATTCCAGTCAGAAAGTTTTTTGAAGCCACAATGAAAAACCCATTCACAGCACCTTGGAGGTCATCGTTGTCACTATACTGTTTTCCATGAAGGTGTTATTTCAGTTTAGGAACAGGTGGAAATCAGCCAGATGAGAGAAGTGATTAGAGACACATGAAGACATGCTGGAGGAGAGATGTGATTAGAGCAATTGATGACATGCTGGATGAAAGATGTGATTAGAGACACATGATGCCATGCTGGAAGAGAGATGTGATTAGAGACACATGATGACATGCGGGATGAGAGAAGTGATAAGAGACACATGAAGACATGCTGGAGGAGAGATGTGATTAGAGACACATGATGACATGCGGGATGAGAGACATCATTAGAGACACATGATGACATGCTGGATGAGAGATGTGATTAGAGCGACTGATGACACGCTGGATGAGAGACGTGATTAGCGACACATGATGACATGCTGGAGGAGAGACATCATTAGAGACACATTATGACATGCTGGATGAGAGACGTGATTAGAGACACATGATGACATGCTGGATGAGAGATGTGATTAGAGCGATTGATGACATGCTGGATGAGAGACGTGATTAGCGACACATGAAGACATGCTGGATGAGAGATGTGATTAGAGCGATTGATGACATGCTGGATGAGAGATGTGATTAGAGCGATTGATGACATGCTGGATGAAAGATGTGATTAGAGCGATTGATGACATGCTGGATGAGAGATGTGATTAGAGCCATTGATGACATGCTGGATGAGAGATGTGATTAGAGCGAATGATGACATGCTGGATGAGAGATGTGATTAGAGCGACTGATGACATGCTGGATGAGAGATGTGATTAGAGCGATTGATGACATGCTGGATGAGAGATGTGATTAGAGCGATTGATGACATGCTGGATGAGAGACGTGATTAGAGCGATTGATGACATGCTGGATGAAAGATGTGATTAGAGCGATTGATGACATGCTGGATGAGAGACGTGATTAGGGACACATGATGACATGCTGGAGGAGAGACGTGATTAGGGACACATGATGACATGCTGGAGGAGAGACGTGATTAGGGACACATGATGACATGCTGGAGGAGAGACGTGATTAGGGACACATGATGACATGCTGGAGGAGAGACGTGATTAGGGACACATGATGACATGCTGGAGGAGAGTGAGTGAGTGAGTGAGTTTGTGCTTTACTGCTGGATGAGAGACGTGACTAGAGACACATGATGACATGCTGGATTAGAGACGTGACTAGGGACACATGATGACATGTTAGATGAGAAGGGTGCTGACCTGTTCCTCCAGCTGTGGTCCTGAGAGGTCGGAGGCAGAGTTGTGGTTGTCAGGGGGGACATCGTCTACACACAAAATACAGCTGAATGACAAGAAGACTGAGGCAATGCTGGTAGGCACAAGATCAAACTTTCATGCAGAGGGGGTTAATGGTATTCTAATTGTGACACCCATTTCATTTTTATGAGTATCTCTTGATCATGGACGAACTGTGCATCATATTGCAAAGCCAAACTTCTTTCATCTTTCAGAAAAATCAGGAGCATCTGACATTAACTTGCACTTTTGGTACATCAGACATGTCAGAGTGGGTCTCAGATGACTCTGACACACCACAACAAGGACATGTCAGCGTGGGTCTCAGATGACTTTGACACACAACACACAAGGACATGTCAGCGTGGGTCTCAGATGACTCAGACAGACACACAACACACAAGGACATGTCAGCGTGGGTCTCAGATGACTCAGACAGACACACAACACACAAGGACATGTCAGCGTGGGTCTCAGATGACTCAGACAGACACACAACACACAAGGACATGTCAGCGTGGGTCTCAGATGACTCAGACAGACACACAACACACAAGGACATGTCAGCGTTGGTCTCAGATGACTCAGACACACACACAACACACAAGAACATGTCAGCGAGGGTCTCAGATGACTCAGACACACAACACACAAGGACATGTCAGCGTGGGTCTCAGATGACTCAGACAGACACACAACACACAAGGACATGTCAGCGTGGGTCTCAGATGACTCAGACAGACACACAACACACAAGGACATGTCAGCGTGGGTCTCAGATGACTCAGGACTCAGCAGGTGTCTTAATTAATGTCAGCATCAATCACTGGGACATTGTATCAATCCAGGCAAATATCCATGTACCTACCCATGTTATTGCGCTGACGTAAGCCAGGTGGTAACAGAAAGTCAGGGTTTCCAAATATACCAGGACCGTTTGCTACATTCTGTAAAGACATGGAAGTATGCGTTACTGGCATGAGTATACAGGAGCCATAACAAAGTAACTTTTTTGAGAGGAATTATTTAAAAGTTGGATCTCTAAGTAAGTAAAGACATATGTATGAACAACTTCATTATTACAATTAGGAGCAAAGTTTAAGTGAAGGTTCTAATACTAGTACTGTTATCAAGCAAGTCATAACGTATTTATTTTTATTTTTATCATGTTCTTACTGCTTTGCCTCTCATCAAAATACTCTGTGTAACCCATGGGGATTATAGATAAGAAATGGTCCCTAGCTTTCTTTGTTTGTTTGCTGTTTAACACTGCACTTGGCAATATTCCAGCTATATGACGGCGGTCTGTAAATAATCAAGTCTGGGCCAGACAACCCAGTGATTGACATCATCAGCATCGATCTACGCAACTGGGATACCATGACATGCATCAACCAATTCAGTGAGCCTGGCCACCCGATCCCGTTAGTCACATCTTACGGCAAGCATAGTCGCCTTTTACGATCTTACGAAAAGCATGGGTCGCTGAAGATCTATTCTCTACTTGGATCTCTTTTGATGCAGTCCCAAGCAACCTATCTGGTCCTAAGAGACAACTAAGTGGATCTAGTGGTCAGACTCAGTGACTTGGTTGATGACATGTCATAGTCTTGTGACAGCACATATATCATTGCTCATAATATCAATCACTGGATTGTCTGGCCACTGTCATAGAGCTGGAATGTTGCAATAAACCCTCATTCCCCCACGAGTGCATTTGGTTTAGCACAGCTATGAACAGCATTTCAGTTAAGACACCAGGTGTGGGACGAAAGCGTGCAGTGATGCCGGGCTTAGATGTTTACCACTTGGTGAAACCCACAAGCACAAGTATGGTACTGACATTCTTGGTAACACATAACTAGGTTGAATCTGGGATTCGTGCCTATGTTCATGGCAGCTTTCTGGCAGGTAGGAATTGGGGCACCTCATATGGTTTGCCGACCCCTGCCCCTAATCAGACAACAAGAGAACGCACCAGTGGCTGTGGCCTGGGGATATCGATGTTTGGGCGGTGGGCTGGCTGTGAGTTCTGGAAGGCCATGACCATCTGCTGCTCCAGCCGGTCCAGCTGCTCCTGTCTCTGCAGCTCCAGCGTGGCGCCCATCGGCAGCTCCGGCGTCTTCGGGGGTGGCGACTGCAGCACCCGCCCCAGCGTCGCATCCAGCATGGAGGCCACACACCTCGGGATCACCACCAGGGACTTCACTTTCAGAAAGTTCAGTCTCCACAGCAACCCACCAATCTAGGGGGGACAATAGATGGACTATCTACAAAGTAGTCTTACTTTAACATGATATAAGAAATTCTCAAATAGATATTCAGGAAAAGAGCAAACTTAACATAGATGTAAGTTTACATAAAAAAAGCAGATATAATGAATGTCTAAAAATTGATTGATTTTCAGTTATTATTAAGTGGATTGCTATAGCTTATGTCTGACTTACAATTCCACAGACTGCAACAAGTCTTGTCTCAAACGTGGGACTCGCAACCTGGTGACAGAATCAGGATGTGATACACATGCGTTCATTTTAGAAATCAAACAAAACAGGTGGCACCATGAACAAAGTTTGTGAATCTGCATAACGTAATGTATTGAATTAATATTATGACAGAGCAATCCCAATCTTACAATCTTACATGGAGGAGCATGTTTTGCTGAACATGTAACACAAGAAGAGTGAGTGAGTGAGTGAGTGAGTGAGTGAGTGAGTGAGTGAGTGAGTGAGTGAGTGAGTTGTGTTTAACGCCGCTTTTAACAGTATTCCAGTTACATCACGGCGTGTCAGCTTAATGTGGGAGGAAAGCCCGAAGTGATGCGGGTCTCAGATGTTTACCACTTAGGTGAAACCCACGAGCACAGGTATGCCCAAGGGACGCAACTCTGCACAACGAATTGCGGCGCCTTAGACATCTGGGCCACCCGTGCCCCCTAACACCAGAAGAAGCATGTCAACAAATCTGTACTGAAGTACACAAGTTAGTCCTGTTATTACGCTATCTGGCTATAAAAGTGTTCATTATATATCTGGACTTATTCCAGATTTCATTCAATATTAGTTACATTAATTTCGGCACAGTCGTGTGTGAACTGATCAGCACATTGCACCAACTCACCATGAACTCTCAGTGAACAGGAACATAAGTCACTGGAGATACAAAGCCTCCTTATACTGCATTTAAAATTCTTTTCAGTTATGGTATTGGCCATGACAGTAAGTATGTTTGTAACTAATGCAATACACACATGCAGTATCAAACTCTGCATATAAAACATTTACTTGTCATTTGGTGTAAAGATAAGTATTTGTAGTTGGTAAATAACATTTGGAAGAGTGCAATAGTTTACGTAAACAAAATGCTGAGTCATCACTTCAGCGACCTCTCGTGGGCTGAAACCACTGCTTTGATTCGTGACCTAATTTTACATCAGAATACATGTTCAAACCTTTTGGCCTCTCTCGGTTCCAAATCCCCTCCAGGCTCATGGACTACCTGGCCAGCATACAGTACACAGATAGCATTGGATTTGTAAGTCATCATCATGCTTTAGTGCCAATTTCATACTTCCACTGACCTAATGTTCAAACGGCAAAATCAACACACAAACACCTACAGCACTGTGACCATTACACAAGATGCACAGTGAGGCAGTGTGCATGAAAAGGGAAAAAGGGAAACGGCACTCTATATTGCATTACCTTATTTTAAGTATAGCAGCATTTCACTGTCGGGGTCATGTGTTCAAGATGAAGAATAAGTACCTACTTGAGACAGACTTCATGATGAGGGGGCAGTGCCTGAGAACCAACACTATGTATTTTAGCCTTACTGCCATCAGCTGATATCTTTCCCTGGCATCTAAGACGAATCCAGACTCACCTGTAGACCCAGGATGTAGGTCAGCGTCTTCCCTGTGACTGGCACGCCCAGAATGTGAGTCATGGCGACGCGTGGAATATCAAAGTAGTACGGCACAAACAGAGGAAACACGAAGCAGATCCTAGACAAAAGATTTACAGAGGGAATGTTAGAGCAGTATACTTTTCAATCGGCTAAAAATCAAGCAATTATGTGAAGCATCACTTTTTCATTGCAAAAGAACTTGATTTAATATATGTTCCCTATATCGGTGATTTGGGATTGTTGTCGGTAAGATGTTTGCTGTGGGTAAGAGGTGGTTGTGGGTAAGTGGTGGTTGGTTGTGGGTAAGTGGTGGTTGTGGGTAAATGGTTGGTGGTTGTGGGTAAATGGTTGGTGGTTGTGGGTAAATGGTGGTTGTGGGTAAGTGGTGGGTGGTTGTGGGTAAGTGGTGGGTGGTTGTGGGTAAGTGGTGGTTGTGGGTAAATGGTGGGTGGTTGTGGGTAAGTGGTGGTTGTGGGTAAATGGTTGGTGGTTGTGGGTAAATGGTGGTTGTGGGTAAGTGGTGGGTGGTTGTGGGTAAATGGTGGGTGGTTGTGGGTAAATGGTGGTTGTGGGTAAGTGGTGGGTGGTTGTGGGTAAGTGGTGGTTGTGGGTAAATGGTTGGTGGTTGTGGGTAAATGGTGGTTGTGGGTAAGTGGTGGGTGGTTGTGGGTAAGTGGTGGGTGTGGGTAAATGGTTGGTGGTTGTGGGTAAATGGTGGTTGTGGGTAAGTGGTGGGTGGTTGTGGGTAAGTGGTGGTTGTGGGTAAATGGTGGGTGGTTGTGGGTAAGTGGTGGTTGTGGGTAAATGGTGGGTGGTTGTGGGTAAATGGTGGGTGGTTGTGGGTAAGTGGTGGTTGTGGGTAAATGGTGGGTGGTTGTGGATAAGTGGTGGTTGTGGGTAAGTGGTGGTTGTGGGTAAATGGTGGGTGGTTGTGGGTAAACGGTGGGTGGTTGTGGGTAAGTGGTGGTGGTGGGTAAATGGTGGGTGGTTGTGGGTAAGTGGTGGTTGTGGGTAAATGGTTGGTGGTTGTGGGTAAATGGTGGGTGGTTGTGGGTAAGTGGTGGTTGTGGGTAAGTGGTGGTTGTGTGTAAATGGTGGGTGGTTGTGGGTAAATGGTGGGTAGAGGGGGTAAGTGGTGGTTGTGGGTAAACGGTGGGTGGTTGTGTGTAAATGGTGGGTGGTTGTGGGTAAATGGTGGTTGTGGGTAAGTGGTGGGTGGTTGTGGGTAAGTGGTGGTTGTGGGTAAATGGTGGGTGGTTGTGGGTAAATGGTGGGTGGTTGTGGGTAAGTGGTGGGTGGTTGTGGGTAAATGGTGGTTGTGGGTAAGTGGTGGTTGTGGGTAAATGGTGGGTGGTTGTGTGTAAATGGTGGGTGGTTGTGTGTAAATGGTGGGTGGTTGTGGGTAAGTGGTGGTTGTGGGTAAATGGTGGGTGGTTGTGGGTAAATGGTGGGTGGTTGTGGGTAAGTGGTTGTTGTGGGTAAATGGTGGGTGGTTGTGGGTAAGTGGTGGTTGTGGGTAAATGGTGGGTGGTTGTGGGTAAATGGTGGGTGGTTGTGGGTAAGTGGTTGGTGGTTGTGGGTAAGTGGTGGTTGTGGGTAAGTGGTGGGTGGTTGTGGGTAAGTGGTGGTTGTGGGTAAATGGTGGGTGGTTGTGGGTAAATGGTGGGTGGTTGTGGGTAAGTGGTGGTTGTGGGTAAGTGGTGGTTGTGGGTAAATGGTGGGTGGTTGTGGGTAAGTGGTGGTTTCGGGTAAATGGTGGGTGGTTGTGGGTAAGTGGTGGTTGTGGGTAAATGGTGGGTGGTTGTGGGTAAGAGGTGGTTGTGGGTAAATGGTGGGTGGTTGTGGGTAAGTGGTGGTTGTGGGTAAATGGTGGGTGGTTGTGGGTAAGTGGTGGTTGTGGGTAAATGGTGGGTGGTTGTGGGTAAGTGGTGGTTGTGGGTAAATGGTGGGTGGTTGTGGGTAAGTGGTGGTTGTGGGTAAATGGTTGGTGGTTGTGGGTAAATGGTGGGTGGTTGTGGGTAAGTGGTGGTTGTGGGTAAATGGTTGGTGGTTGTGGGTAAATGGTGGTTGGTTGTGGGTAAGTGGTGGTTGTGGGTAAGTGGTGGTTGTGGGTAAATGGTTGGTGGTTGTGGGTAAATGGTGGGTGGTTGTGGGTAAATGGTGGGTGGTTGTGGGTAAGTGGTGGTTGTGGGTAAATGGTGGGTGGTTGTGGGTAAATGGTGGCTGGTTGTGGGTAAATGGTGGGTGGTTGTGGGTAAGTGGTGGTTGGAAGTAGAGGTGGTTGGTTGTGGACAAGTGAGAATATATCGTACCCATGTCAGGAATCGACTTTGGAGGTAAGAGGTAGTTGGGGCTAGGGGATTATCATGAACATGATGAAGATGTTTTTTTTCTCACCAATCAGGTTAACAAATCTACTCATCAGAAAAAGACTGTTAATATCTACTGTAGCTGATAATACCCGGTATACGGAAGAGGGGATATGGTAACTGGGGACAGGGTTCAGGGGGAATCACTAACAATGTGGGGAGGACCTCAGAAACATTTGGCTCTGTCTATCCGACATTTGGCTATTTAACTGCACTTTTATTCACTTGAAGGAGTCTCTGTACACCATAATGCACTGGAAAACAAAATCTGTACCAATCTCTGTAACACTGATACCCTTGTCCTGGGACCTACAGACTAGTGGGCGTTCCCTGTAACACTGACAACAAGGTCTTGGGACCTAGACTAGTGGGCATTCCCTGTAACACTGAAGGACTAACAGTCGAGTGGGCGTTCCCTGTAACACTGACAACAAGGTATTGGGACCTACAGACTAATGGGCGTTCCCTGTAACACTGAAGGACTAACAGTCGAGTGGGCGTTCCCTGTAACACTGAAGGACTAACAGTCGAGTGGGTGTTCCCTGTAACACTGAAGGACTAACAGTCGAGTGGGCGTTTTCTGTAACACTGACAACATTGTCTCGGGACCTACAGACTAATCGATGTTCCCTGTAAGACATTTTTAATCAATTCTTAAGCAACATCCTGAGCAAAAGCTGGGTGGACTGACTGAGAAGCAGCGTAACTTACGGTCCTGTTGGCAGATTCTCCACGGATATCTCCAGGTGCTGACACACCCACAGTGACACCAACTCCACACCACAGGCCAGGGCTCCTGACGCCATCAGGTACGACTGAAATACATGACAACAATAAATCAAGACAAGTATTTGATCTTCCCCATTTTGTCAATTGTATACTGTCTTCTCAGGGTTGGTTGAAGCAAGCTCTATGATCATGAAGTCTAATGCTTCAAACAAAGATACAACACTTTATCAAGGACCATCACAAAGCGCCATCTTTCTTTGTGGTAAGGTAAGCAGTAAATGTATTAAGGAGTAATGCAGGAAAAGTTAAAAATATGTGTATTACTACTGTTTGGGTTAGGACTTGAAGACATTTCGTTATCATGATTACGGATATACAGACACATCGGAGGCAATCTTAAAATTAATCCATTAAGTTGTGCTTTGATAATTCTCAGACAAAATGAATTAGAGACTGACACAACATTCAGGCAGTTATGTCAGCCATTTAACTATTGCGATACCACTCGGTGAAAGCTATAGATCACTAATCTACTGTATACATAGACGTAGTGCTTGTTCTGGGGATAACACGGAGCTGTTGGATATAACAGGACAATTTGTAGTGCTTGTTCCTGGGATAACAAGGAGCTGGTGCATGTAGCAGAACAACTTGCAGTGCTTGTTCTGGGGATAACACGGAGCTGGTGGATATAACAGGACAATTTGTAGTGCTTGTTCTGGGGATAACAAGGAGCTGGTGGATGTAACAGGACAATTTGTAGTGCTTGTTCTGGGGATAACAAGGAGCTGGTGGATGTAACAGGACAATTTGTAGTGCTTGTTCTGGGGATAACAAGGAGCTGGTGCATGTAGCAGGACAATTTGTAGTGCTTGTTCTGGGGATATCAAGGAGCTGGTGCGTGTAGCAGGACAATTTGTAGTGCTTGTTCTGGGGATAACACGGAGCTGGTGGATATAACAGGACAATTTGTAGTGCTTGTTCTGGGGATAACAAGGAGCTGGTGGATGTAACAGGACAATTTGTAGTGCTTGTTCTGGGGACAACAAGGAGCTGGTGCATGTAGCAGGACAATTTGTAGTGCTTCTTCTGGGGATAACACGGAGCTGGTGGATATAACAGGACAATTTGTAGTGCTTGTTCTGGGGACAACAAGGAGCTGGTGGATATAACAGGACAATTTGTAGTGCTTGTTCTGGGGATAACACGGAGCTGGTGGATGTAACAGGACAATTTGTAGTGCTTGTTCTGGGGATAACAAGGAGCTGGTGCATGTAGCAGGACAATTTATAGTGCTTGTTCTGGGGATAACAAGGGGCTGGTGCATGTAGCAGGACAATTTGTAATGCTTGTTCTGGGGATAACACGGAGCTGGTGGATGTAACAGGACAATTTGTAGTGCTTGTTCTGGGGACAACAAGGACCTGGCTGATGTAACAGGATAATTTGTAGTGCTTGTTCTGGGGACAACAAGGACCTGGTGGATGTAGCAGGACAATTTGTAGTGCTTGTTCTGGGGACAACAAGGAGCAGGTGCATGTAACAGGACAATTTGTAGTGCTTGTTCTGGGGATAACAAGGAGCTGGTGGATGTAACAGGACAATTTGTAGTGCTTGTTCTGGGGATAACAAGGAGCTGGTGCATGTAGCAGGACAATTTGTAGTACTTGTTCTGGGGATAAGACGGAGCTGGTGGATGTAACAGGACAATTTGTAGTGCTTGTTCTGGGGATAACAAGGAGCTGGTGCATGTAGCAGGACAATTTATAGTGCTTGTTCTGGGGATAACAAGGAGCTGGTGGATGTAACAGGACAATTTGTAGTGCTTGTTCTGGGGATAACAAGGAGCTGGTGCATGTAGCAGGACAATTTGTAGTGCTTGTTCTGGGGATAACAAGGAGCTGGTGCGTGTAACAGGACAATTTGTAGTGCTTGTTCTGGGGATAACAAGGAGCTGGTGCATGTAGCAGGACAATTTGTAGTGCTTGTTCTGGGGATAACACGGAGCTGGTGGATATAACAGGACAATTTATAGTGCTTGTTCTGGGGATAACAAGGAGCTGGTGCATGTAGCAGGACAATTTATAGTGCTTGTTCTGGGGATAACAAGGAGCTGGTGGATGTAACAGGACAATTTGTAGTGCTTGTTCTGGGGATAACAAGGAGCTGGTGGATGTAACAGGACAATTTGTAGTGCTTGTTCTGGGGATAACAAGGAGCTGGTGCATGTAGCAGGACAATTTGTAGTGCTTGTTCTGGGGATAACAAGGAGCTGGTGTGTGTAGCAGGACAATTTGTAGTGCTTGTTCTGGGGATAACACGGAGCTGGTGCGTGTAGCATGACAATTTGTAGTGCTTGTTCTGGGGATATCAAGGAGCTGGTGCGTGTAGCAGGACAATTTGTAGTGCTTGTTCTGGGGATAACACGGAGCTGGTGGATATAACAGGACAATTTGTAGTGCTTGTTCTGGGGATAACACGGAGCTGGTGGATATAACAGGACAATTTGTAGTGCTTGTTCTGGGGACAACAAGGAGCTGGTGGATGTAACAGGACAATTTGTAGTGCTTGTTCTGGGGATAACAAGGAGCTGGTGCATGTAGCAGGACAATTTGTAGTGCTTGTTCTGGGGATAACACGGAGCTGGTGGATATAACAGGACAATTTGTAGTGCTTGTTCTGGGGACAACAAGGAGCTGGTGGATATAACAGGACAATTTGTAGTGCTTGTTCTGGGGATAACACGGAGCTGGTGGATGTAACAGGACAATTTGTAGTGCTTGTTCTGGGGATAACAAGGAGCTGGTGCATGTAGCAGGACAATTTGTAGTGCTTGTTCTGGGGATAACAAGGACCCGTTGGATGTAACAGGACAATTTGTAGTGCTTGTTCTGGGGATAACACGGAGCTGGTGGATGTAACAGGACAATTTGTAGTGCTTGTTCTGGGGATAACACGGAGCTGGTGGATGTAACAGGACAATTTGTAGTGCTTGTTCTGGGGATAACAAGGAGCTGGTGCATGTAGCAGGACAATTTGTAGTGCTTGTTCTGGGGATAAGACGGAGCTGGTGGATGTAACAGGACAATTTGTAGTGCTTGTTCTGGGGATAACAAGGAGCTGGTGCATGCAGCAGGACAATTTGTAGTGCTTGTTCTGTTGATAACACGGAGCTGGTGGATGTAACAGGACAATTTGTAGTGCTTGTTCTGGGGATAACAAGGAGCTAGTGCGTGTAGCAGGACAATTTATAGTGCTTGTTCGTGGGATAACAAGAAGCTGAAGACCACATACTACAAACTTTCTGGATCCAAATCTGCGTTCAAAGATCCTGAAGTAATAGACCAGCATGCAGCACACAAACAGATCCTTGAGATCAAGAAAGGCCACGCGGGAGGAGAGAAGCCGCCATATCTGAAACAAAACCCACACCACTTGACATGTGCAAGCTGATTGAAGCACGACAGTATGTCTACCTAATCCATCCATAAACTAATATGTAATGAGGTTGCAACTTGTTTGAACAACATATATATTACATATTACATATTACAATTTCTCTCACACTGTAAACTCTGCAATGTAGAATGGGCCAATAGCCTGCACTACTGCATTATCCACAACCAAACTGTCCTCTGTTTGAATGACCTCTGTTTGAATGACCTCAGGACAATTCACCTCTGAGCATAAACAGCCATGAGTATAAACTGCCTTTGTATAAACAGCCATGAGTGAAAACTGACATGAGTATAAACTGATGTTAGTATAAACTGCCTTTGTATAAACAGCCATGAGTGAAAACTGCCTTTGTATAAACAGCCATGAGTATAAACAGCAAAGAGTATAAACTGACATGAGTATAAACTGCCTGTGGGTCATACAGGTACATTGTGGTGGTGTGTGTTACCTGGTGTTTCTCCAGCAGCAGCTGTGGGTTGTACAGGAGGTAGCTCTTGTAGTGCTGTAGTGGGAAGGAGAAAGCAAAGGATGCGGCCAGGGACAGCCACACAAGACCCTTACTCACTGGAGCTTTGTCTGGAAACAGAGCAGCATTACCATGACTAGTCACACTATGTTACTGATAATTGACATGATGGTGGCCACTAGTACTTTAAACAAATTCAAGCATCAACAGATATTATCTGTGTATACTACATGCTGTTCTTCTAATAAAGCTATCACCACAGAAACACAGAATAGAACTGTGCTACTTGCTGTATCTAACCATTTCAGGACATCCAAATGACTGGCATTCACAGTTACCATGGTTACACTCCTCTCACGTCAGTTGCACCATCAAATAATTGTTTACGATGTTTACTCTGTGTTGTTTACTCTATCTTGCACAAAAACCCAATAAGCACATGACCACAGTGTTTATTCAGATGATGGTCCCTAGGATATATAGCAATCAGTGGTTCCAATTTGGCACTTTTCGTGTCGGGGGTACTTATTCAATATAAGATTGGGTTATAAATCCAGGTCTGATGTGGTGAATTAATTCCCTGTTGAACAATATGCACACGACAGCACAACAAGACAGGGATTATCATGCAGTTGTGCTGCAAAACAAGGTTTAACAGATAAAAAGTTGATTGATCACTGTTATCTAACTCAAAGCATTTTTTTTTTTAAATTGAACATCATGAAAAAATAGTTGCCACGTGTTCTTTCTCAGATGACAAATTGACAAAAACCAAACCTGGTAATAGGAGACAAAGCAACATGCCCTAAAAGAGGGGTGGTGTATCAACTCAATTAACAATGTCAGTATTGGGTATGACCATCATTTGAGTTGATACCGGCAAGGCAGCGGTAGTGCATTGAAGACACCGGACGATTGAAAACAGACTGGGGGATGTTGTTCCCAATGTCAACCAACGATTGGCGAACAGAGCTAGTGTTACCGGTTGTTTGTAAAGTGCACTATAATCGTTTTCTTTCTTTTTTAAGGTTTGGGAAAGAACATGTTCATTATCCCACTAAAGAATTATATTCAATAGAGCAAATTACAAAACGTTCACACATCACACAGTAATGTCACTGATTGTATGTGTAAAATGTTATAGCTTTTATAAAGCGTGTTTCAAGTCACTGTCACTCAGTGAGGTGACACGAATATTTTGAAATTCATTTAATTCCACAACATCACAGTTTGTGGACCCCGTTTGTTCGTGTTACACTTACAGAATCCCGAAGATCCGTAAACTGATAGCATTTGGACACAGTTATTCTTCTCCACGGTCAGATTTGTCTGTATCTGTAATCTAAATACGGAAGCGGAAGCACTTTGCCCTCGGTGCTCGCGCACTTTGATTACATCATTTGCATCGCTTACGGTAATGAATCGCATTACACACTTAGCATGACACAAGCATTAGTCGAACGATCATTCTCAAAAGGAACATGGATTGGCTAGGTAACTGTGATGTCTGTTTAAACGGAATAGCACATTTGAACTAATAACATCATTTTCATTTGCTTGAGCGATATATATGTAAGGGAGATAACAATGTCTATATATTATATTCTGTACAACTTATTACATTATTAATCACAAATATGAAGCTCACGCTTGACCTCCGCTGTTGTGTCAGTAGTGAAAATGAATAGATTGTGCACAGTAAAATAAATAGTTTTTAAGTGTATAGTTCGGAATAAAATAGATTATTGTCAAAGCAATATATAAAGATTATTCGAAAAAATATTTCCAGGCCCCACCACCCCAGCCCCTTCACCACATATCCCAAATCAATGCAAAATGTACGTCATTTAGTTGAAGTGTTCTGTATTCCTTTTGTAATCAACTATACCTTACTTTTAACTTTAACAGGATTTCACTCAGCACTTTATGCATCTTTTATTAGATATAAACTTAACCCATGCTTGCCGTAATAGTAGAAAGAGGCGACTAACGAGATCTGATGGTCAGGCTCGCTGACATGGTTGATGCATGTCATCTTATCCCAATTGCGTGGATCGATGCCCATGATCAGTGTTAGAAACTAACAGTTTTAGTCCTCTAGTCCTTATAATGATAGCATATAGCAACACCCTTAAAAAGGGTAAATTTCTACTAGTCCTTATGATACCTGAACTATTGGGGGGTTTGACAAGGACAACATGACTAGTGCTAATATCTCAGGCTGATGATGTCAATCACTGGATTGTCTGGTTCATCTCCGATTGTTTACACGTCGCCTTCATATAAATGGATTATTGCTGATTGCGGCGTTAAACAACAGTCAATCAACAAAACAAGCACGTTCCATAGTTGGAATCCCACTCAGTAGGTAACGCTGATCAGCTGGAAGAATCCTTGATCAATATATATCCTTTCTTGGTGCCAAGGTGAAGACTGTCGCAACCCGCAACAGAAACACTGTGGATACAATTCTCACTTGGCACTGAGTACCTGAATGAGTAAGTATATTTAAACCTATTTACGCCGGTGAAGGTTAAGTGTTACCCATGTGGTTTGTTATGCTAATATTAACAGTATGTTAGTGTCTTCTATGATTCTGGACCAGAAGAATTGATGACGCCATCAGCTACTTGCCTTTCTTAAGAAGCATCTTTGAAGTCTGACAATCGACATGGAGTGAGATGGATGCGGTAAAACACTTCTTGGAATAATTTAATATCATTATTATTTTATGACACAGAATATATTTGATTACCAATCCAGGATTCGACAGTCGACCAACGATTCCTACAAATTCGAAAAAAAACTGTACTTAATGTTTATTCACTAAGCATGTTTCCAATATCCCACCCTTACCATAACCTTTAATGTCGTGAGTTAGTTCATAATCCACCTAGAGTTTCTTGCTGTCAATGTGTATGTGAACTAGTCGTAACGTAAATACGACAAGTTTGTTTTGAGTTACTTCCCCTTGATGATTTGTCAACATATGCCAGACTGAAAGTATTTTCTGATTTTGTTATCAAATGGAAACATTTGACAGGATACAGTCTGCGTATTGCATGGGGTATCAATGAAGATATGCGAGATATGAATAGAATGAATTCAATCGGGGCGGATGAGGATGCAGACGTGTTTGAAATCACTGACTTTACAACTGCGTCAGATTGGGAGAGGTTCATCGCTCGCTTCGAAGAAATCATCCACGAATGGAAGTTAGCCAATCGACCGCCACTCCCCCCTGCGCCAAAGGACGAATATTCAAATGGAGCCTGGGATGAACGTACTGAGGAGCTACAATTTGCTGATTTCAAATTTAAGATTACCCATAAATTCCTGAAATCGTGCGTTGTGACAACTGAAGGTAGAAGTTCAGAGGAGAAGGATGGAGCCCAGGACAACGACGACACAGAAGATTTTGACGAGAAAACACCAACAGTTTATTCTGATTTGATGAACCTTGACAATGATTTTCCTTCCCGTGCACACCCACTGTGTAGGTGGTATGGCCTCCAGGAATTCCTCACCTTATCACCAGCAGCTAACAATGAGATTATTGATACTGAAAGTAGAACCAAGCTGCTTCTCAGCTCCGCCTCCATTGCTATGAGCAACACCACCTGCAGTGTGCCAGTGTTTGTACAGCAGTCGCACAACTGGAGGAAACTTTACTGTGGAACATGTGTTGTTCCTGGAGCAAATGTTGAATTTGAAATGGTTCATCTGAAAAAGATTCCCTCCCAATACGACCATCTAGCCGGTCTCCTAGATGTGTTCAAATCTAAACTAGGATGTGTGTATATCTCTATGCCTCCAGTGTCAGTATCTGTGAGATTCACATACATCTTGTCTGATTGGTCATGTACTGCCTGGCCCCAGGCTCCTCCAGACTTGTCGTCATTGATGGAAGATGAAGTTGGCTGTTCTGATTTTGGCAACCTTCCTTTCGGAGCATGTGAGGACCCAGTGAGTGACCTACATTTATCTTGCACCTGGCCAAGTCTCTCAGAGGATATGATTGTGGAGAATCATGTTTACTCGGATCTTGACCCCCTACAAGCGCCACAGTGGTCTGTTCGAATCAACATGGTAGATGATCCACTGTGTCTCCTTGGGGATTATATCAGAGAATTCCTGACCCTTACTGAGAGAAAGGAAACAACAGATGAACTCCTTGGAAATCTTGTGTCTGACGATGGAGAAAATGCAGACCTTAGCCAGGCTTTGCAACGTTTGACTGAACCTAACATGCCATATGCCATGCCTTCCATCGGATCTGTAGTGTCAACTGCAACTACACGACTGAAAATAAAACCAGAAGAAGCACCAATAGCTTCGGACATGCTAAACCAAATACTACTATTTCTATTTCCTGATGCCAAAGGGCCAAAATGTGAAGGGGAGGATGAGAATGGAGATGAAGAAGTTAAAGAAAAAACTGCCAGGTACATAGATGTTTTGGCAGAGCTAAAGAAACAGATGAAAACTGCACCTCTTGATAGTTTAACACATCGCTTGGCTGTATGTTTTTCTATAGTTAACCATAATTATGGTGGTTTAAGAGCTGTTGCACACTTGTGGCAAGAGTTTGTCTTGGAGATGAGATTTCGTTGGGAGAATAATCACTTTGTATCAGGAGTTGAAAAGTGTCAACCCAACCTTGGAGCTTGTCTTCTGCACCAGAAGCTTCAGATGCTTAACTGCTGCATCGAGAGGAAGATGAAGAGAGAGTCTTTGGGTTACGGGTATGGTTCAGAATATGACAACTCTGCTGGAGCATCCCCTGATAGTCCTGGTGATCCTTTCAGCAGTGTGTCCGACAAACAAGACACCTCCCCAGCTGAAGGTCGAGTTGATGAGGTAATTGCTGAACGTGTCGGCAGTATAGGAAGTGTTAGTGATGATGAATTCTACGACTGTGATGATGATGAAGATGATGATGCAGATGGAGCTTCAGTCCCAAAGGAGAAGACAAAGTCTGACCGAAAGAATAGCAGGAACAGGGACAGCTCAGAGGACAGAGCCAAGTTGGAGGAAAGTATTGAGTCAGCATCTGTTGCCAGCGAATCGTCCTTTAAAGACAGTGTTTCCCATAAACCTGAAGGTAGACTTGCACCTTTTAAGAACATGAAACTGCAGGGTTCTAGTGAGCAGATGTATGTCCCAATCACACAGGAACCATCACCTATGACAGAAGACATGCTTGAAGAACATGCTGATGTTCTCTCTAAACTTGGATCATCTCAAGAAAGTACACAGCTGCGTGCCAGAATGCAGAGTGCCTGTCTTCTCTCCGATATGGAGTCTTTCAAAGCTGCCAATCCTGGTTGCACATTGGAAGATTTTGTTCGATGGTATTCCCCACGAGATTATATTGAGGATGAAGTCGAAACTGAAGATGGTAAAAAGGAAATAAAAGGCTGCCTTAGTCAAAGAATGCAAATCCCTGGAAACATGTGGGTGGAAGTATGGCAGAGCGCAAGACCAGTTCCTGCAAGACGACAAAGACGGTTATTTGACGATACAAAAGAAGCTGAAAAGGTCCTCCATTGGCTTAGCTCCATGAAGCCGGCAACTGTTGTTTTTAACTTAATGCCAATGTTAACGCATGCTGCTATAGTAAAGGTCCTTGACAATGAAGATGCCGATGTGCCTGCTGTGAAGACTCTGGTTGACCAGATAGTGTCCAAGGGGGCCAAACTGACACGAAACCCAATGGCTGATGTCAGAAAGTATGAACATTTGGTCCGACTCATCGAAATGGCAGAGACCCTGATAGCAAGAACAGTGTCCTTGAGGTCCAAATTTTCTGAAGACCTTCTCGAACAACGAGGTGCCGAGAGTGAACTCCATCACTTTGTGTCCTGTCTCCATCAACACCCAGAGGTTACAGTCCGAGGTGGTCCGTGTGGTCCTGTAGGTGCCATCATTCACAAACTGTTTGTCCAGTCACAGAAGGCTTCCTACATGTTGCTAGATGAGGATGAGGAGCCGACTGAAGAAGTGGAGAAAGATGCACATAAACCTGCTAGCACTGTCCCCGACTTCCCACGACCAACAGCCCGTGAATATATACTGAGAGCTATGGTACCAAGGCCTGCTCCTTACTCAAGGGTGCTTCCACAGAAGATGTTCTGTGTTCTGGTAGAAAATGACCACTTTCGGTTAGCAGGAGCATTTTCTTCTGATACAACTTTCCAGTGATGATTTTGCTGCAGACTTAGTGAATTATCATTGCTTGAGTGGTCTGCAACTCACTAACAAACTCTACTGAACAGAATTGTGAGATCATGTTTTAACTCCTCAGAATAGTAAACACAGTTAACAGATCCTGTGTTGATATCAAGATTGTTGGGTGTTATTTATTTGAATGGGTGTGGCAGTTGCTTTATCGTGTTGCCCTTGATTGTCTTATTCACATAATGCAATATGATCTGCTTATATTCTATGCTTTACAAATATAGACATTTTAGATGCAAATTTTGTATTTATTTGTTTTTGTTCTGGAGACAGTTGAATACTACTGTTACATATGTTCATAAAATCATCCAAGGCACAGTTTGTCATGACTTCAGTCTTTCCTTGAGATGAACATGGAAGTCTTTCATACCATGCTGTTCTATGCTACGAAGAGAATATTTTCTATGGGTAAGGCCATCCATACTTTTTACAGGTTTCTTATCTCCAGCCTCAAACATCAAAGCAGGCTTGTGAAAAAAAATTTAAAATCTGTCACTAATTGTGTAACTTACTTTATGACATTTTATGAACTAGAACATTTGGTACCGGTCCAGTGGAGTTGCTTTTGTTTGGAGACTTATAAAGCTGACCTAGTTTTTATGAATGTGCATTAGTAGGAGCATTTTCTTTTATCACTTTGGGGCATTAATTTCCACAGCAGCATGGAAAATTGAGATATGATAACTGCTTATTTCACATTGGAATAAATATTCAAAGCCGGCAGGAGATGGGAAACACCAAAACAAATATGGACAGCCTTGTATGTAGGATGAGTAAATGAGTAGATAACTACAGATTTACTTACAGTTGAATACTGATTATGATGACATGCATAATAAAAAGCTAAATATGCTATTGACTTATCTTGTTAACTCTTTGTCAAACATGAATGTTTGTTTTTTAACACCACACTCAGCAATATTCCAGCTATATGACGGTGGTCTGTAAATCATCAAGTTTGGGTCAGACAAACCAGTGATTGACATGATCATCGATCTAAGCAAATGGGATAAGATGACATGCATCAAGCAAGTCAGTGAGTCTGACCACCTGATCCCTTCAGTCCCCTCTTACAACAAGCATGGGTTGCTGAAGACCTATTCTAACCCAGGTCTTCATGTTGGTTAACATAAGTTTTGATGCATTTAAATCTGTGTCCGTAACTTTCCTAAATGTGTTTTGTTGATGTCCACAATGCACAATGCCCATCTTGTACCTTCAATTCCATTCAGTTGTGATAAGTACCCTGGACTCATTTGATACCATATCCATGTTCCCAGCATGATTCTAGTAGTACAACTTTAGTAATACTTTCACAAGCAAGAGGATTTCTGAGCTAGCTTAGAGATAACAGCATCCCAAGTTGTGGCGTCACTCCGGAATAAATAGGTCCGGGGTGTTTTTAAAATAGAATAGAGAAGTAATATCCTGGATAATCGAGGATGGTCTACGCCCAGTCTGTCTGAACATATGGCTTGTTCTTGAAGAGGAATTATTTTGGATAAGTCAACAACCAGACCCGTAATCAGAGTGCAGTTTGCAGTTGTCATAGTTACTGTGTCAGAAATCTAGTGGAATGCCTGATTGAAACACATTATTTATTTGTAAGCATGTGATATTGTGTGAATCAGGCTTGTCATTAAGCAATCACATGTAAATGTGTATTTTCTATAGTTTACAGTTTTGTCACAATTTGACCACCGTTACCACACTTGTTCAAAATCGTGCAGTATTTGGACATCTCAGGAATGTCCTTACAAGTATGTCTTCTTTATCAAGTCTATCTTCTATGTTACGTCTATCTGTATGTCAAGTATATTTTCTATTTGACCAGTGCAATATGTTTCAAGACATTGTTTGGTCATGTGAAGAATAAAGTTCGTCATTGATAGCCCTGAAAAAAATGTGTTTACTGTAGGTCAGTGAAGCTTGGTACAAGATATATAGAAGGTCATTGTAAAATATGTTTGCAATTTTCACTGAAATATCTTTTCCTGCAAATGTACGTACATCATTTTTAGAAACGTGATTTCTCCTTACATTAACAGGAGTAGTTCTGCAATACAAGCAAGTTTTGTTTGTTTGTTTCTTAATTTACACCGCACTCCGCAATATATTCCAGCTATATGACGGCGGTCTGCAAATAAACAAGTCTGGACCAGACAAGTCCAGTGATTGACATCATGAGCAACTGGGATATGTTGACATGTACAGTTGTATCAACCAGGTGACTGAGCCTGACCACCTGATCCTGTTAGTCACCTCTTGCGACAAGCATGGGTTGCTGAAGACCTGTTCTGACCCGGATCTTCATGGGTGGGCAGGGCAAGTAGTGTTGTACTGTGACTGCTCATTGTGAATTATATATGATTACACAATAGCAAGAGAAATAAAGGCCTGTTTATTTGTGGAGAGGCCTATTTTACAGTAACCAGTAAGTCCTGTAATTGGTAGAAGCTATATGGGGGATTCAGTTCCAGGCCCTGATATTTGAGGAAGCCATATGGGTAACATAAATTGTTCGATAAAGGTACTAGCATCTGTACCAAAATGTGGCATTGAAAGAACAAGCAATATAATAGAAGAAGAAGTCCAACTCCACTCTTATCTGTCCTCATTGATACTACAGATTCTGTAGTGCCACTGTAATATGATTCCCAATTTGTCATACTCACCCAGTATGCCACTGAGTTAAAATGTGAGTTCAAACATTGTAAGTTCACAATAAATTCATTATGAGATGTTCATACATAATGTTTTAGAAGTCTGAGGCGATTGGCATTTCATTTTTTGGTTGAAGAAACTTTTCAAGGAATTTGTGTCCATGAACTGTTGATGGATGTGATTCACATCAAGCGTGGCTGTATGATAGGGCTACTTGTGACAATATGATGTGAGGCAGGGTTTTGGTAGTGAGATGGGTAGGGATGAAAGTCTCCTGGCAGCCAAATAACATCTGAAGGGCCAAATAAATTCACAAAGAAACAGATAATGCAATGAAGTAGAACATTGTTAACCAAGCTTAAGAGGGACATAGCATAACTCATCTTCACGAGCCAAGGGAGTTAACTGACTATAAAAGTCCTGTGGAAAGTGGACTTTTATAGTCAGTTAACTCCCTTGCCTTGGGAAGAAAGGCTGGTCAGGTTAGCTATGTTGGGTGATAAGGCTCATTGGGTTAGCTGATTGGGTGGTCAGGCTTGATGGGTTGGCTGGTTGTGTGGTCAGGCTTGCTGGGTTGGCTGATTGTGTGGTCAGGCTTGCTTGGTTGGCTGATTGTGTGGTCTGACTTGCTTGGTTGGCTGATTGTTTGGTCAGGCTTGCTGGGTTGGCTGATTAGGGGGCTAGGCTTGCTGTGCTGGCTGATTGTGTGGCCATACTTGCTGGGTTGGCTGATTAGGTGGTCAGGCTTGCTGGGTTGGCTAATTGGGTGGTCAAGCTTGCTGGGTTGGCTGATTGTGTGGTCAAGCTTGCTGGGTTGGCTGACTGGGTGGTCAGGCTTGCTGGGTTGGTTGATTGTGTGGTCAGGCTTGCTGGGTTGGCTGATCAGGTGGTCAAGCTTGCTGGGTTGGTTGATTGTGTGGTCAGGCTTGCTGGGTTGGCTGACTGTGTGGTCAGGCTTGCTGGGTTGGCTGATTGGGTGGTCAGGCTTGCTGGGTTGGCTGATTGGTGGTCAGGCTTGCTGGGTTGGCTGATTGGGTGGTCAGGCTTGCTGGGTTGGCTGATTGGGTGGTCAAGCTTGCTGGGTTGGCTGATTAGGGGGCTAGGCTTGCTGGGCTGGCTGATTGTGTGGCCATACTTGCTGAGTTGGCTGATTAGGTGGTCAGGCTTGCTGGGTTGGCTAATTGTGTGGTCAGGCTTGCTGGGTTGGCTGATTGGGTGGTCAGGCTTGCTGGGTTGGCTAATTGTGTGGTCAAGCTTGCTGGGTTGGCTGATTGTGTGGTCAAGCTTGCTGGGTTGGCTGACTGGGTGGTCAGGCTTGCTGGGTTGGTTGATTGTGTGGTCAGGCTTGCTGGGTTGGCTGATCAGGTGGTCAAGCTTGCTGGGTTGGTTGATTGTGTGGCCATACTTGCTGGGTTGGCTGATTGGGTGGTCAGGCTTGCTGGGTTGGCTGATTGGTGGTCAGGCTTGCTGGGTTGGCTGATTGGGTGGTCAGGCTTGCTGGGTTGGCTGATTGGTGGTCAGGCTTGCTGGGTTGGCTGATTGGTGGTCAGGCTTGCTGGGTTGGCTGATTGGGTGGTCAGACTTGCTGGGTTGGCTGATTGGGTGGTCAGACTTGCTGGGTTGGCTGATTGGGTGGTCAGACTTGCTGGGTTGGCTGATTGGGTGGTCAGACTTGCTGGGTTGGCTGATTGGGTGGTCAGACTTGCTGGGTTGGCTGATTGGGTGGTCAGACTTGCTGGGTTGGGTGATAGTGTGGTCAGGCTTGCTTGGTTGGCTGATTAGGTGGTCAGGCTTGCTGGGTTGGCTGATTGAGTGGTCAAGCTTGCTGGGTTGGCTGATTGTGTGGTCAGGCTTGCTGGGTTGGCTGATTGGGTGGTCAGGCTTTCTGGGTTGGCTGATTGGGTGGTCAAGCTTGCTGGGTTGGCTGATTGTGTGGTCTGACTTGCTTGGTTTGGTGATTATTATTATTATTATTATTATTATTATTATTATTATTTTAATTATACCAAAGGTATCAAGGTACTATTATCTGTTCAAATGTGGTGTGGTTTTATTTGTTCCAGTTTTCATTCCAGTTATCATTCTCAACTCCCTGGGGTGTATACAACACAAGCTCTCTACCAGCGCTAGAAGGTTTTTACACCTACCTCACATGTTGGGTACCCAGTCCCTGCTGGGTGAACAGAGGCACATTTGAACTAAGTCACTTGCCCAGTGTGACACCACACGTTCTGACACTTGTGTTGCGGGTGTATGTAAGTATTCGTGTTTCCACCATCGGACGAGTGGGTTGTTTTTTGTGCACAGGGCGAAGGTACTGTTCACAAGGGCCTGTTGACATTTTAATCCTGAAAAGCACGTTTTATTTCCAATGAAGTTAAATTTATGTGTTCACAAAACCAATTTGCGTACAAGATGACAACCTCCGACACTGAAGGGACAAACTTTACTTACACTGCTCACATGCCAACATATTCAGAGAACCTTTTGGAGAACGAAAACCTGGAATGTCTTTTTCTTTTTTTTCCCGCCTGTTGACCAGGATTTTAAAAAGAACTAATATAGCTACAAGGCTCAGAAGTTGGCCTGACCAATGAAGAAATAATTGCATAACACTTCACCCTTCTATTGGTACAAACATCCAACATGTATTTCCATTGCCCTCGTGTTCATCTGTTGTATGGAAGCCTTTGTCGTTTGCTTGCATATTCCTGTTTACTATTTTATTGTTACCTTATTTAACTAATGTTGCAGATGTTCCAGAAGAAATGTCGTGAGACACAGAGTCTTTTGGACAAAACATATACATTTCATTTCTTATGCAGCTCTACCCGTAGTGTTGAAAGAAAAGATTTTCCATTTTGAATATTGACAAGGTGAAGCCTACTTTTTGAATAAGCACTAACTTGTCCCTCTACTGGTACATTATCTGTATAGGTTCGACTGGCCTGGTGAAATTAAAGCTGTCTGTGGATGGCAACACTACTTGAAATTGATTAACTCATTCGTCCCACATTATGCTATAAAACACATATAGCTGACCCCCATGAGGTCAACGTGTTCAGAGTTCACCACTTCACTCTGATACTATCTTTGAACAGGCCGTTGTCATGGCGTCTTCGTCTAATGTGAATGTCATGAGGTTATCAGTGTTTGTTTCCACAGCACCTAATTGTTTGTAGAAGTTGATACCGCTTGTGTTCCCTCGTTTGGCCATCCACTGCATATATCCACAACCCCAGGACAGGGCTAACTGCAAAGCAACAGTGAAAACGATGGCAGCGAGGATGAAACACACAAATAGAGTCAGGCAGATAGGGTTAGATCACTGCATTCATAGTGAACAGGTTACGCTAACACAACGACAGGAAACCAGCCTTGACCTATTTACGCGGCTGTGGTGGACAACTGTTAAAAGAGTCGCCAAATGCGGTTTTATTTGTTCCCCGGCAAGTGGATCAGTTTGCATTCCAGTTATCATTCTCAACTCCCCGGGGAGTGTACAACATAAGCTACCTTCGAGCGCTAGAGGGTTTTTACACCCGCCTCACATGTCGGGTACAGAGGCACATTTGAACTAAATCACTTGCTCAGGGTGACACCACACGTTTTGACACTTGTATTTCGGGTGTATATAGTATTCGTGTTTCCACCATCTGGTCATCTGCCAGTGGGTTATTTTGAGTGCACCGGGTGTATGTACTGTACACTAGGGGTATTGACAACTTTGAAAAGACATGTGAACATTGTTGGTCCCACGTCACCGGAAGGATATGATCTAAGCACCTGGGACTTGCTAGCCTGGCTCTTTTGACCGCTTGCCCACTCTGCCCTTGTCTGTCGATGCTCCAACCAACATGTCTCTCGCTCATGCGTCCCTGACAGATATAGTTTACCAACTGACCTATTTACACATGTACAAGTGTACAATGTTATCTATCCACCTCACGTCACACGCTCTGTGTATCAGGTAAACAGGCCTAGCCACAGTTTAAGATAACGTACCGAGGACTCAGTAAACACCCTACTGATGCGGGAAGTGAGTGCATGTTGTTTAACGCGTCATTTAGAAATAGTCAGAAAATGTATCACAAAGGCATGTATATAATCAAAGAGCCTTGTCATCGTGTATGATGTACACTCAACGAAGCCCGACCAGTTGGCTATCACGACAACCATGAGGTATAATGGTGGCCTAATGTGACCCGGAATCCCCACAACATAAGGCATATCTCAACCGTCACTTCAGTGTTCATGGATGTGCATATCCTCACCCTAATACCCTGTAATGGTTTTTAACCGTTATCGTTTTGAAACAATTTAATTCATACAGTTAGCTTATTATGTATTAATATATTGCTAAATGTCATATGAAAGTTGCAGGATGCATGCAGCTGGAGTCAAGCCCCTCATACTCTGCACTGTTGGACGACGTTACCTTCATTGCAGAAGCCCACAGTGCTGATCCGACCCCCTTCCTTCTGAAGTCCCTTTCCACAAACAGGTCCTCCACGTACAGGAAGCGCCCAGTCAAGGTGGTGAAGGACCACATATACATCAGGTAGCCAACAAGCCGGGATCTGCCTGGAAGAGGTGAAGTCAGACCTCATGGTCACGTAATGGGAGGGCGGAGAAAGGGCTTCCTACGTCCATTGAGGCTGTTCATTTTAGTTGTCACACAAAACCACAAACTAATCTAGGTACGAAAACTTGGTGATACTAAGCACAATTATGCTGGCATCTTCATTGTATTACAGTCAGTACTTGTGACTAAACACCCCATGTCATACACCATCATGCTGGCATCTTCATTGTATTACAGTCAGTACTTGTGACTAAACATTCCATGTCATACACCATCATGCTGGCATCTTCATTGTATTACAGTCAGTACTTGTGACTTAACATTCCATGTCCTACACCATCAGACTGGCATCTTCATTGTATTACAGTCAGTACTTATGACTAAACACCCCATGTCATACACCATCATGCTGGCATCATCATTGCATTACAGTCAGTACTTGTGACTAAACATCCCATGTCATGCACCCCCATGCTGGCATCTTCATTGTATTACAGTCAGTACTTGTGACTAAACATCCCATGTCATACACCATCATGCTGGCATCTTCATTGTATTACAGTCAGTACTTGTGACTAAACATTCCATGTCATACACCATCATGCTGGCATCTTCATTGTATTACAGTCAGTACTTGTGACTAAACATCCCATGTCCTACACCATCATGCTGGCATCTTCATTGTATTACAGTCAGTACTTGTGACTAAACATTCCATGTCATACACCATCATGCTGGCATCTTCATTGTATTACAGTCAGTACTTGTGACTAAACATCCCATGTCATACACAATAGCGTTACATTTTGTTCCAAACAGCAGAGGCAAAAACAGTCGTCAATGTACAGTCGTCAAGTTGTGGGTGTTCGGTGAATCTGAGTTTATGAACAATATGCTTGGGATATAGCGTTAGTGCTTTGCTTCACTTGATACTGATGGGTGCAGTGAGTTGGGGAATACATGTGCATATATGTCGCATATAGAAACACTAGAGTTTAGAACACGGTGCGCTGACCGGGACTACAGTCGACACATTACACGTCCGTTAACACGGTGTTCTGTAGAACACATCAGTGAATCAAGGTGGGCTTGACGTGACTCACCTGTTGATTGTGTCTCTTCTGCCACGAAACAATCGAACACTTTCTTCTCTCCAAAGCCATCTCTTTTCAAAGCTGGAATGATTTCAGCCACTGAGTTTTAACAGTCCCCCTACATGCAGTCAGATGAAGCATTTATCAACACCCTATACCAGAACTCAACCCCACCAATATGTCATCAGTAGAATATAACATCTATTTCCTTGCAGAACAGCTTCTGCTAAAGCTCCTCTCCTGGAGAAAAGATATTGCTACTATTATATGATGGATTAATGCCGCATCAATCACCATGGTGACAGCATCTAATACTGAGAAGTCCAGTTTATCCTTGGATTCCCTGCTACAGTTGCAGGAATAACTTCATCAAAACAATTGAAGGTCAATACAGTAAACTACGGTTATAACGAACTAAAAGGGACCACTAATTTTATAAACATATATACAGCATATATACCGCAAATGGCTGGGACCAAAAAAACAGTTTGTTATATCCGCCAGTTCGTTATAAGCGTGTTCGTTATAAACGTAGTTTACTGTATATTTGAAATGGTCTCACATACCATGACTGCAAACCAACCACTGGTGTCAGTGCCGCAGACGAGACTATTTACACTTGTAGACTGCACACCAAACACTGTTGTCAGTGCCCCAGACCAGACTATTTACACTTGTAGACTGCACATCAACCACTGGTGTCCGTGCTACTGCTGTTGCTACTATTGCTACTGCTACTACTACTACTGTTACTACTACTACTATTACTACTACGACTACTACTACTACTGCTGCTGCTGCTCCCACTTCTACTGCTGCTACTACTACAACTACTGGTGCTGCTGCTGCTACTACAAGAACTACTACTACTGCTGCTGCTAATGCTGCTGCTACTACAACTACTACTGCTGTTGCAACTAGTACTACAGGCTGCTGCTCCCACTACTACTACTGCTACAACTACTACTACTACTACTATTACTACTACTACTACGACTACTACTACTGCTGCTGCTGCTGCTGCTCCCACTTCTATTGCTGCTACTACTACAACTACTGGTGCTGCTGCTACTACTAGAACTACTACTACTGCTGCTGCTAATGCTGCTGCTACTACAAATACTACTGCTGTTGCAACTAGTACTACAGGCTGCTGCTCCCACTACTGCTACTACTACAACTACTACTACTGCTGCTACTACTAGAACTACTACAACTACTACTACTACTACTACTGCTACTACAACGACTACTGCTACTACTACAACTACTACTACTGCTACTACTAGAACTACTACTACTGCTACTACAACTACTACTGCTACTACAACTACTGCTGTTACTACTACTAGAACTACTACTACTACTACTACTGCTACTGCTACTACAACTACTACTGCTGTTGCAACTAGTACTACACGCATTTTCTGCTGAGAACGTTGGAGGTAGAATGTTCGTAGTTTTCTATTGAGAAACAAAGCTCACTTACTCTTGACATTGGTCTTCAAGAGATGAAGGTTGCCTTCGTGTGTGGCAAAACCCTGTAAAGACATACGGACAACCCTTAACATGGACTACAAAATGACTGTAGGTTAAGAATTAGGAGATGTGTTTTTTACACGTCACGTGACAAGAGAAGGATTAAACATAAATTAAAATGACAGGTAGTGGTATATGCTTTCCATATCATACGACAAACATAGAGTGCTGGTGACCTGTTCTACCCCGGAATGTGCACTGAGATTCTGGGATACGTCATAGACAAACACAGAGTGATGTGACCTGTTCTACTCCGGAATGTCCACTGAGAGTCTGGGACACTGCATGGACAAATATCGAGTGTTGGGTGCATGTTCCAAGCCGGAATGTCCATGGAGAGTCTGGGATACTTCATACACAAACATAGAGTGCTGGTGACCTGTTCTACACTGGAATGCCCACTGAGAGTCTGGGACACTAAGTACGAAAAGGATATAGAGTGATGTGTCTTGTTTTATTCAGGGATGATGGGTGCTCTTTCTTTATTTAGGTTTTGAGTGGAAAATAACCCCAAATGTACAAGATGAAATGTACTCGTCAATTTAATATCGAACCACCTGAGTGCTGATCTTCATCGGTAACTTTTGTACAGTATTTGTTATATGACAACCCAACGTGTTAATACATGTATTGATGGAAACTCATTCCCGATTGGAGAACCGGTAAATTGAACGATGCACATCGTTTAGCATGTTTGCTACTGATAAACAATATGATGTAGTGAAACCAGATTTGGAATTGCGGTTGGACATGAGGTGTATCAGAACTTGTTTCTTGTTTGTTGTTTAACGCCGCTCTATCTATCTCCACACGTGTACCTATCTGCCCATGCATACCGCTGTCTACCTATGTATGCCTGTATCTACCTATGTATGCCTGTGTCTATGTATGTATGCCTATGTCTACCTATGTGTGCCTGTGTCTACCTATGTATGCCTGTGTCAACCTATGTATGCCTGTGTCTACCTATAGCTCAGCTTGTTTCGCTCACCTGCATCAACCGTACTATCTCATCACAGTCGTCCTCGCGAGCTTCTCTCACTGAAAAGTCGGCCATACTTGAAGCTGTGTTATCACATTGTGATCTCTCGTTTCCGTGACCTACGAAAGACAGGGTTATCCAGGTCGGTGTTCCAGTATCAGACGAGAAAACCCATCCCACGAGTGTCAGTCAACAGAGTCATGAGGTCGTCTACTCGAGTTGGACCATTATCCGAATAGAGTCATTGCTCCAATCTATCGAGAAGAGTAACTGTGCTGTGGTCAGTCAATAAAGCCATTTCTCGATATTGCAAGATAACATCAGTTCTGATATGTTAGTAATATAACTTGTATGTGCATATCGGTGTGTGTGTGTGCGTGTGTGTGTGTGCGTGTGCGTGCGTGTGTGTGTGTGTTAGTGTGCGTGAGTGAGTGAGTGTGTGTTTGTGTGTGTGTGTGTGTTTGTGTGTGTGTTTGTGTGTGTGTAAGGGTAGAATAGGTCTTCAGCAACCCATGCATGTCGGACGATGCGACAAGCGGGAACGGGTGGTCAGGCTCCCTGACTTGGTCGATGCATGTCATGGTATCCCAATTGCGTTGATCGATGCTCATGATGTCAATCTCTGGATGGATGGTCTGGTCAAGAGTCGATTATATACAAACCGCCTTCATATACGAGCCGTTGCTGTAATATTGCCGAGTGCGGCGTTAAACAACAAGCAACCATCCAGTGTGTGGATATGTGTACAGGTCAGTGTGTGTGGATATGTGTACAGGTCAGTGTGTGTTGATATCTGTACAGGTCAATGTGTGTACATATGTGTACAGGTCAGTGTGTGTGGATATGTGTACAGGTCAGTGTGTGTGGATATGTGTACAGGTCAGTGTGTGTGGATATGTGTACATATCGATATGTGGATGTGTGTATAGATCACTGTGTGTGGATATGTGTGCAGGTCAGTGTGTGTGGATATGTGTACAGGTCACTGTGCGTGGATATGTGTACAGGTCAATGTGTGTGGATATGTGTACAGGTCACTGTGTGTGGATATGTGTACATGTCAGTGTCTGTGGATATGTGTACATATCGATATGTGGATGTGTGTATAGATCACTGTGTGTGGATATGTGTACAGGTCAATGTGTGTGGATATGTGTACATATCGATATGTGGATGTGTGTATAGATCACTGTGTGTGGATATGTGTACAGGTCAATGTGTGTGGATATGTGTACATATCGATATGTGGATGTGTGTATAGATCACTGTGTGTGGATATGTGTACATGTCAGTGTGTGTGGATATGTGTACATATCGATATGTGGATGTGTGTATAGATCACTGTGTGTGGATATGTGTACAGGTCAGTGTGTGTGGATATGTGTTCAGGTCAGTGTGTGGATATGTGTACAGGTCACTGTGTTTAGATATGTGTACAGGTCAGTGTGTGTGAATCTGTGTACAGGTCACTGTGTGTGGATATGTGTACAGGTCAGTGTGTGTGTGGATATGTGTGCAGGTCAGTGTGTGTGGATATGTGTACACGTCAGTGTGTATGGATATGTGTACAGGTAAGTGTGTATGGATATGTGTACAGGTCACTGTGTGTGGATATGTGTACAGGTTACTCTGTGTGGATATGTGTACAGGTCAGTGTGTGTGGATATATATACAGGTCAGTGTGTATGGATATGTGTGCAGGTCAGTGTGTTCGTGTTTGCAGGTCACTGTGTGTGGAAATGTGTACAGGTCAGTGTGTGTGGATATGTGTACAGATCACTGTGTGTGGATATTTTTTTCTGACACAAATTAACATATCAAACTGGTGTGTATAAAGGTTCACAGCTGTTATATCGATATTTGTCACTTAAAAGTAACAGGACTATTGTATCAACAAACCCCTTGGTTAGATGTGTTATGGATATACTAGACAGCATTGGATTATCTTATGTATTTAGCAATCCGTCAATTTGCACAACAAAGTGGCTAGTGTCAGAAGAAAAGCAAATACTTGAAGATATTTTTTTTCAGAAATGGAGAAGATGTTAATTCTAGTTCTAAAGGATTATATTATAAATATTTAAAGGACACTCCGGTTCTCGATAAATATCTTCTATTGCCAAAACGAATATCAATTCCAATACTACGATTTCGAAGATGTAATCATAATTTACCTAATGAGACTGGTCGATGGAAAAAAATCCAAAGGAAAATAGAACCTGTAAATTATGTAATTCTTCATCTATTGCTGATGAATTTCGCAACTATTTCAGAGGTAATTTTTTTAAAAGAGACAGGCAAACATTTTGATCATCATACTATACTGAATGGCCAAATATTATAAAATTTGTAAAACTCTTATCAACAAAAAACACACAGGATCTAAAGAATTTATCGAGATTTAGTGTACAAATGTCCATTAGTATTAAAAGTGCTAGGTAATCACATGTTGTTATCAACTGCGATCTTGTCTGCTATTTGTACATATACATACTGGGGGCACGGGTGGCCCAGTCGTCTAAGGCGCCGTGATTCGCTGTGCCGAGTTGCGTCCCTTGGGCACGCCAGAAACCTATGATTGTGGGTTTGAATCCCGGTTCGCCCCGATTATGTTTCTAGGTTTGTCAGCACCATACCCGTGCTCTTCGGGCTTTCCTCCCACATTAAGCTGACACGCCGTGATATGACTGGAATACTGTTAAAAGCGGCGTTAAACCCAACTCTCACTCACTCACTCACTCACATATACATACTTATTTATTTAATGTGCTCTTGTACCACCTTTTGTGGTTTTTGAGAATTAACTTATTCTGATTCAGTGAAAGGTAGTATACTGACCAGCAAAAGAAACTACACTATGTGGTATCATACCATGTCAGAGATCTGATTGGTCTACGTGATCTTGATAAAATACTTTATCATACCTCCATGTCAGAATGATGAGATCTGATGGGTCAACGTGATCTTGATAAAATAGTATGTTTCCAGCCTTGGAGGGAAATTAATTTCTGAGAGGCAGAATAAATCTCTTATACCCCGACATCGAAGCTTTTTCCGAATCAATGAAAGTCACGTGCCATAGCACAAGCTATCCTCTTCTCAATCGATCAATTTTTAATTTGTTTCAATTCTTTTGCACTGTCATAATAAAACATGTAGGTAAGATATGTTCGTTGTAGCAGGATCACTCAGGGCACTTGGGGTTTTTATGCGTCCCAAACCTAACGCGCGACTCCCCATGTACTCCTCGTGATACAGCTACAACTGTAAAACCAATCGCAGAAAATCAACAGATATGGCGCCAACTGAATATATTTTAATGTAGTTCACTGAATTCTGTGTAAAGTCGCTTGCGCGCACAGCATGGTTACAAGATACAAAGGGATATAAAAAGAACAACTCACAATATTCGTCAAAGCAGAAATTCGCCCAGACAACAGTAACATGCGATGTGTATCGGCAGAACAGAGAGTATTGGTATGTGACTTGTGCGCCATGCATGACATCGTTGTGAGACACTCGTAGAACAATCACAAGGTTGTTGTCACGATCCCCACAGACAGGGCCGACTCAAGGCAGGCAGACCGCGTGTTGCACCAAACAAACATCTTTATTTACCTACTCTTCATTTGAGGGACCGCCTCATGATTGTGACGTTATCAGAGTCAACTGCTCTCGACATGTTGTCAGCCGCGTCGCTGTATCCAGACGACGATGTGACCATGGTATTCAAGCCCAGAGGATCATGATAGTGATTCATAAACACATGCTCATAATATAGTCGGAATTGTACAATGTACTCTGCTTTATGCAGAGATTTCTATTGGGTATGGAAAGGGGTTTGTCGCTTTATTTGTCAACATCGACGTCAAAGGACCGAGGTGGGCGCGCATTGTGCAACTATGGAAGAACAGGAACTGTCATAGGGACATGTTTTCTGAAGACACCAGGTTCCAGCTCTTCAGAACAGATACGTGTGTATCGTCGTCGGGAAGAAGGCACAGCTCGTTCTTGTGTCACAGGACTGTATTTTGGACGTGGCAGCAGCATGCTTTGGTCGGGATTTGTGGACAGGAAAAGACGGAACTTGTGGTGTTGAATCTAGCAGCACAATGTGACACCGACGCAGTATTGTGTAGTTGTACTTTCCAACAACAGAAACCACGTTCCAACATGACAACGCACGTCCATATACAGAACGTATCGGCCGTTACATTCAGCAGGTCGGTAATTTGGTGGTTAAGTGTCGCTCTCCTGAACTGTTGCCGATTAAAGATCTTTGGGACCATCTTGACCTTCAGATTAGAACACGATCTCACCCTCCAACAAGTATAGGAACATTGATAATGTATTTCGACGTCCAATGAACTCAGCAAGGCGTCGCCAATGGCGGACACGAACGCTATCGACTGTTACTATATGGATTCCTTTGATGCAGAGGGATTTTAATTTCAACCATATTGTGTTTCACAGTGGTGACTGTAAATACACACTATATCCATCCCCATGTCTTTGTTGGCCTGGGTCCTCTATTGTCGCTATCAGTGCATTGTAACTCTGTATCTCTTTGTCCTTGTTGTCCTTGGACCTCTATTGTCGCTACCAGTGCATTGTAACTCTGTATCTCTTTGTCCTTGTTGTCCTGGATCCTCTATTGTCGCTACCAGTGCATTGTAACTCTGTATCTCTTTGTCCTTGTTGTCCTGGATCCTCTATTGTCGCTACCAGTGCATTGTAACTCTGTATCCCTTTGTCCTTGTTGTCCTGGGTCCTCTATTGTCGCTACCAGGGCATTGCAACTATGTATCCCCATGTCCTTGTTGTCCTGGGTCCTCTATTGTCGCTACCAGTGCATTGTAACTCTGTATTCCTTTGTCCTTGTTGTCCTGGGACCTATATGGTCTCTACCCGTGCATTGTTACTCTGTATCCCTTTGCCCTTGTTGTCCTGGGACCTCTATTGTCGCTACCCGTGCATTGTAACTCTGTATCCCTTTGTCCTTGTTGTCCTTGGTCCTCTATTGTCACTACCAGTGCATTGTAACTCTGTATCGCTTTGTCCTTGTATTCCTTGGTCCTCTATTGTCACTACCAGTGCATTGTAACTCTGTATCCCTTTGTCCTTGTTGTCCTGGGTCAGTTGGTGTATTGTGCATTAGTATCTGACAGTGTGTTTGTGGCCGTCACAGTTACAAAGGGGCCCAGTATTCCGTTCTTGAGCGTAAAACCCCTGGCCAACATTAGCCTTCTGTCATCCTTGGTTTTAGATCCTGGCTGCATTCAGGTGACATTATAGCAGAGAAAGACACATCTTGGTCCTTCATTAGATATCAGTATGTTCAGGTTTGTTTTCTTCAACTGGTGATTTTAAAGAACCACACGAATTCAAATCTATTTGCCACGTATAAACAATATCTGTAGCTATAAACCTGGTGGAGTGGACAACGTCTATTCCTTGGTCTGTACCACATGAACCCTACCACCGTGAGGCTATGATTCAGCCTGCATTCGTATCACCACATATAATGTATGTAACAAAAACAAATATTTGTCATTTCAAACACTAGTTGGCAGAGGTTTTTGAGTTTGCCAACCTATGTTTGCAAAAAGATGCTGTCGACTTTAAACATCGCTTCATGGTTCCAGCAGGTGTACGTCACCCCATGCTACAGTAGGCTTGTAAACGTGAACACAGGGTAAGACGGTTGTGTTGTCACCGACATCAAACTCACGAAATCTCAACTGTGTGTAGTTCAACACTAGTGCCTGGGTTAATAATTAGGACTGTGGCACAATCGAATAAATAATATATTTAGTGAATTGCTTACGATTCACTTTGATTGAATGTGTGCTTTCAAATTACTAGGCAATGTGAGGACACTGAGAATCTGGGACGATTCATACGACATACATAGAGTGTTGGTGACCTGTCATACCCCTGAATATTGCTGGGTGCTGGCTTTAGAACAGATCATCTCGGATCCATATTTTTGTTTTGTATTGAAAAAAACTAAAATGTACAATATTATTACTCGTTAATTTGATATAGAACCACTTCAGCCTTGATCGTCATCCGGGACTTCGTCTGAGTTTAACGTCACTTGTGAACAATATTTTAGTTACATGACAGTCAAAGTTGTTAGTACATGTATTGATAGAAACCCATTCCAGATTGGAGGACCGGTTTATGTAACGATGCATATCGTTCAGCATGTATACTGCTGCAAAACAATATGAAATAGTGAAACCAGAATGGGAATTGCGATCGACCACGAGGTTTGTGATAACAGCTAAACTGGAATTGCGCTACTGGGAAGACAACCTTGACAAAAGTTCCGCCGTCACGGAATGCATTTGCAATTGAATAACCTGACTATGACGACACGTTATCTTTACCCAATGAAGGCAGGTGTCTGGAGCGTCACGCGAGTAGGCAACACTCAAAGTCCAGGTTTCGTTTTGAAGCTGAACAAGGCGACGGCCATATTTGGGTTCTTGTTTGTTTCTTGTAAGTAAAACATATCTACTCACTTCTTGTGATTATATTACCATCTTCTTAACATATATTATGTTGTGCCGCTTGATGAGTGTTTACAGCTGTCTGACTTTCATTATAGATCTTAAAGCATCAGTATGAACTAGTTGTGTCTGGTGGGTGTGTGTGTGGTTATTAAGAGGAATGCAGTGGATGTAGGTCGGGTTGGGTGGGATGTTGATAGGGAAGGTGGACGCAGTGTTGGTAAAACGTCACCTTATGGCCCAGGATTGCAGTTATTGTCAGTTAAAGAGTCAGCATGTCAACACAGTTTCTTGTATCGTGTTGTATGTGGATACATCTGCTACTCTCGCCAACTGTTTGTGTGAACAGTATATGTACACTCGTTAGACGCGAAGATCTGACCATGTCAAACACGGATCATGTCCCACCCTGTAATTTTTAGATTTGGAAAGGGTGCCAAGGATCAAGCAACTTTGTTTGCAGACACTTTGTAAGTGTTGTACAAGTAGAGGTAGAGTGGTGGGAACGACAGGTCATGTTGTAACATGCTACACAAGCTGGCCACGGCTGGTGGTGAAGTCATTCTATAGGTTGTCATGGCTGCCACTCTGACGTCACGATGTATGAATAGCGCTTCGACATGCCTGTCAAGTGCACGAACTGCAGTGATGTGTTTCTAGAGCGACACAGCCGGGGTATTGTAAAGTCGGGTCACTCATGTCATCTGCTTAGCTTTACAACGAATGCAACGAACACAGCTTCACACATAGCCTCTTTGCTGTGGTGGGCATCGAACGTTGAAATCCATGTTTTACATGTAAATTAACTGTGTATACATTTGTTCAAAGGGTTCTGTCGCTTTATTTAATTATTTTGTATTGTATTGAGACTGCAATCTAGATATATCGCAGCCCTTAGAAGAACATACATATTTTATTGGGCATTTATTTCATTCAAATCTACATATAACTAGATCAGTGGGTGAGTTTAACGCTGTGTTTAACAGTATTTCATTTATGAGCTTATGTGGGTGGAAAGCCCGAAGTAATGCAGGTCTACTCCGTTTACTCCTTTGGTAAAACCCACGAGCACGGGAATGGTGCTGAAAAACGTAGACACAAAATCGCGGCGAACCTGGAATCGAACCCACAATCATAGGTTTCTGGCGTACCCAATGGACGCAACTTTGCACAGTGAATCGCGGCTCCTTAGACGGCTAAGCTACCCGTGGCCCCTATAACATAAAGGAAACCCATTTGTCTTTGTAAGATATTATGGGAAATAAAGGGACGAAGGTATCTACTTCAACACATTATACATGTAACAATACAACATGGAGAATTGCAATCAAAAGTACGATTTTCGCAAGGAAGAATTTGACCAGGACTTCTAACGCAGTATAAAAGCGCATTATGAGTTTAATTTAAGCTATTAATGTTTCCCTTTTACTTTGAAGAACTGTACCTTCATCCCAGCGACATTCCCACACACATGACGTCAAAAGATGGCTGCCCGCCACGTTGTCGTCATCCGGAGGAACCACAAGTACCTGAAGGAGTACCTTCAGGTGGACCCTGTGCTGGACGCCTTGTTGGAGGACGATGTCTTCACACAGGAGGACTATGACAGGTGTAGACAGGCTGGGTCGGAGAAATGTGAGAGGCTGTTAGAAATATTAAAGAAGAAGGGACAAGAAGGGTACTGGACACTGTGTGCTGTCCTTGATTCCTCACAGCCGTTCATCAAACAACGGCTTGATGAAACCTCCATGGAAGCAGGTATGTAAGTAGGGTTGTCACAAGCTGCCAGAACTGCCAATAGCATACAGCTATCAGTTGGTCTAGTATTTCTGGAACTGTGTTTTTTGTGCATCAGAAATGTAAAATAATATCCCGCTCTTGGAATTGGTTTAGATTGTTGTTTGGAGAACTAAATTCTGCCAGGTTACCACATTAAGCCTGGATATTCATTTAGATCACAGCCAGAAAGTCACAAGGTCATTCTCTCCCATTCAACAAATAATATCACACGTTTATATCAATACATTGGGGTAAGTCTATGACAGTACGTATGAACATAAAAAAAACATTAGAAAAAATAAAATGATTTTAAAAAGATAAATGCAGTACAATATGATATGATGCCGATAAAGAGAAGTGCTATCAACCACAGATGTGCCTAGTTAGTAGCTACTCAACAGAGGAAACAAAATGTCTTCAAACAGCGAGTTATATATTGTCTTACTGTTTTACTACACGCGCACTACTCTACTCTTCAGGTTGTTCAGATCTCGTCTATGTCAACAAGTTCAAGCTGGAAGCTCAGTACAAAAAGGAACTTGGTGACAAAGAGGACCAGATAGCTGAACTGCAATCTGTGAGTAGTCCGAACACAGTTAAATCTTGTCTGCTCGTCATGTTAAGATACCCCTGTATTGAGATGAGATAGGTATGTATGAATTAGTACTGCACATGTATTAGGTATCAGATGTGCAATGTTAGTGAATGTACGCTTCCCGAAACTCTCCTAAACATCAAGTTTATATTACATTTTCCGAGACTAGTGAAACAGGCAATACATGTGATAAGCTGCAATGTCTAGGTGTATTTATATGTAATGAGTGTTCAGGTGTTTACTCCTCGTTCACATCTGTTGTCAGGCAATGGAAAGAATTGAGGAACAACTAAAACAAAAAGACTTGGACCACGCTGAACGGGAGGAAGCAATTAAAAAGGAGAGAGAGGAACACATAGCACAGCTAGAAAAGCAGAAGGAGGAAGTAGAAACATGTAGGCTGATGTTTGCTTTCCTGTTTCAAGTCTGTCTTTTATTTGCAAGTTTGATTTTACCTCTGCTGCCAGTGTTGACGTTAACACGTGCAGCATTGCTGATTTCCATTGACCTGTATAGTATTATTAACCACACGATGTCATTGCTGGAGATACTTTACCTCCACATCTACAATAAAACATACACTGGAATTTGTATTTTGATCAAAGAAGCAATTAACTGATGTGATCCTTGCAACTTTCTCATTTCAGTGAAAATGCAACTGTCAAAGTCAAACGATGATTTGCAGCAAAGCCAGGCAGAATGTGACGACGTGAAGAAGGTAGGAATGAGTGAGTGAGTGAGTTGGGTTTAATGCCGCTTTTAACAATAATCCAGTTTTATCGCAGAGTGTCAGCTTAATGTGGGAGGAAAGCCCGAATTGATGCAGGTCTCAGACGTTTACCACTTCGGTGAAACCCACGAATACTGGTATGGCGCTGACAAACCTAGAAACATAATCGGGGCGAACCGGGATTCAAACCCACAATCATAGGTTTCTGGCGAGCCCAAGGGACCCAACTCGCGGCGCCTTAGACGACTGGGCCACCCGTGCCCCCAGGTAGGAGTGATGTTATCCTGAAGGAGATACTCGGAAATAGAATCACTGTTGCATAACTACACATGTAACATAAAAGGACAAAATGAAGCAATGGTACTTGTCATTTCAGAGACTGCATGAAGAACAGGAGGCATACGAGGCCTTGACAGGGGTTCCTAGGCCACAGTCCCCAGATATGGAAGACAATGCAGTGCCGGTCCAACATACAGGTACACTGAGAAAAGGGACAATCAATCTCACAAACGTAAATAGTTAGAAACATAATCATAATGAGGTGGGGAGATATGGGGCTTAGCTTAGCGAATACTTGCGTGCGTGTGTGTGCATGTGTGTGCGTTTGTGTGTGTGTGTGTGTGTGTGTGTGAGTGCAGGCGCGCGTGCGTGTAAGCGTGTGCGTGCGTGGCTGCTTGTACTAGTCCTGACTAATGTTGATTTTACAGCGCTCGTCCCATGAGCCGCAGTTTAGAATGAACACCCCTATCATACACAATATACAGACGCCGAGCACACCAGTCCTTGTTTTAGACCCTTAATATCGAGGTCCACGCAGGGTAACAAGTACCATCTTTTAACGGCTTTTGGTCAGGGATCGAACCCCCGACCTTTCGCTCCACGGACAGGCGCTCTATCCACTAGACCAAGGAGGCAGCTTAATCATGAAGAGCTTAGTATGATATTGAATATATACATCTTACTGTGTTGTTTTTTACCCCCAGGTTCCAGTGACAGAATGTGCCAGTTTTCAACTCAATCTTGCTGTGATGAAAGTCAGCTTTGTCTCCTTCCATGTCTTCATTCTGCCTGCAAACCATGCATTGATCACCACTCTGTCCAAGCACAGCAGAAGTGCCTCCAATGTCCCTGTGGTCGTGAGTTCAACATGGAACAGACTGAAGTAGATCCTGTTGGACGCAATGAGGCTGCCTATGCTGCCAACGTTGAGGGAGACAAGAAATGTAACTACATTGAGGGAGATCATGACGCAAAGGCTGAGGTGTACTGTCACGAATGTGATAACCTGCTCTGCTCCGACTGCCATGAACATCATGACCTGCCGAAACGGAATAGAAACCACAGAGTGGAGGAGGTCAATCAGACAGAGAATATCCCCATGAGGCATTGGCTGAAGGAACCTAATTGCAGAGACCACCCTGAGAACAGGCTGCAGCTGTATGACCACACATGTAAGAAGGCTATCTGTATTGTATGTCTACATGGGGCCCATAGAGATCACAAGAAAGAAGACTTGAATCATGCCCATGAGAAGGCAAAGGGTCAGCTGGAGGAAAAGTTGCAGAATCAACAACGTAAACTGAAAGATGTCACAGACAGAAGGGCAACTGTCAACAGTCACCAAGATGAACTGAGCAATAAACAGAGAAAGCTGGAACAAGCCATCATTACGGTTTGTAAAAGTGTGGCTGTAAAGTCCCTTCATCGACAGCGAAAACTGAGGGAAGAGGTCAAAATGAATCTGGAGGCCCATAATAAAACAGTTCAAGAGACCCTTGACACTATACATGACGTCCATACTTCCATTGCATCCACGATAGACTACACACAGAGAACACTGGAATCCACAAGAAGAGAGGAGCTAATCACTATCACTGCTGCAATACTGAAGAAATGTGATGAAAATCTGAAGAGGGAACTTCCAGACGATGACACAAAAGATACAAGGATCCTCCTTTCCTTTCAAGGCCAGAAAGCACTGGAGAAACTCATCGATACATTTGGTGGCCTTGTCTCCTCTCTTCACTTGGATCATATTCCAGACACACAGCCTACTTATCAAAGTAGGTATATCTAAGAACATTCATGTTAAGATAATACTCAGCAACCCACTGACCAGTTTCTCATTCCACTGCTGAAACATTTGCTTAAATGCCTCAACTACACTTATTCTTTATGTCCTCAGATCTGCTTAAACAGATACACCTGCTGACATTGAGAGAACAAAAAACAATCACGGTAATATGTTGTTTAAAAGAAAATTAAATGTATCTAAATACATTGAATGCAAATATTGTTGGAATCAATTAGAATATTCGGCTGATGAACATGGTTGGGAGTTCTATACCAGTTCTATGTTATATAAAAACGTCACGTTACAGTCTCTCAGATGGTTGAATGCCCACAGGTATATATTGTGGTTGTCATTTCAGCTGCATGAAGGACGATGGCGTCAGCTTCTCCAGATTATACATGACATCACAGGTATAGTATGATACCAGGATGGAGGTCGGAAGGAGCAGATTAAATAAATCACTTATTCTATTCCAGTCTTTATAGCAAAACATCAATGTACCTAACGCATACTTGAACGACTCGAAATGTTGGATTTAAGTAAACATGCTTAAACAATTTGAGTCACGTAAAACAACGTTCAAATATGTTTGTTTGTCTTCCAACAGGAATCAAGGAATGCGACTCTACTGTATCTGGATCACAGGAACTCCAGCCTGCACAGCTGACATCACAAGACGTTTATGAAGCTGTCACCAAAGTACGTTCAATAACCCAATGAGGTTCCGGGTCTGAATATGTCCCCAGAACCAATGCTGATTGTAAACAGGCGAAAAGATGGATCAGGTCATTAGGCTTGTTGATAGCGTGTCATTATTCCCCGACGGCGTGGGGGGTTGCACATAAATCAATCATCGGAAATGGCCCTGATACGATTATGTACATGCCGCCGCCATATAGTCGGAATATTGCTAAGTGTGGAGTTAAACAACAAACAAAAACGTCATATCACATACTAATGATCTGTCGCTGAATCTTCAGTTGCATTCAGTAAAAGTAAGTCAATCTCTAAGTTGAAATTGTCCATCCTATAAAATGAAACAGCTTACGCTAAAAACAATCTCTTAACACCTTTGTTTCAGCTCACAATTCGAGCATGCATCTCCGCTGAGACAGTACCACGTGAAATCTTCTTGCGAGGTTCGTGCAGGACAACTGATTTTAGACCAAAGTCAAAACTTTATTCCAGTGACTATCAGTATAGAAGATGCCACCAGTTCCATCTAGAGTGCTACAATATCAATTATGTATAGTAGATAGGTCATTCATTTGCTTAGATTGTGTAAGACTAACACTATACCTAAACTACCACAAACAGATTACTCAGAGGTCAATCAATTCTTCTTTCTATTCTCTTGTTACAGTCTTTTATGTGAGTCACATTATGAAATGGGGACGGGATTGTGTAATGGCAGGACATATTTCGTTAATGCAGAAACTTGTGGTATTTTTTTATATCGGAAGTATGTTCCATACACACGTAAAAGTGTCAGCCTTAAACTTAAGGAATTCGGATTCCGACAAGTAGGGATACGTGAAAAGAAACAAAATCTTATAACGTTGTTTATTACCCATTCAATATCAGACAATGCGAAAATCCTTACGAATTGAGAAATGCGGGGCAATAAAACACAACCCGTCATATACTTGGCAAATATCTGTGAAGAATGACGTCTCCACTTGGTCACGTCGCTTGTGCAGTAGAAGGAAACACATTTTATATAGCTGTTCAGTTCGTGTTTGATATTTAGCCCAAAGGATTAAGGATCTGTGATTAGATAATTACTTTATCTGTTGCATGTTGTTCATATCTTGAACGTCTTCAGCATGTTGATTTAATTTATTATAAAAACAAAGAAAAGAGCACGATGATTTGGACCTTTGGTCTGAGTGGGACTGAGGGGGTACATCCTTCAGTCGTCGAGGTTCGTGATAAACTGTTCTACTTACACGTGGCTGTATCAGATGAGCACTGCACGGAGTGTTTTGACACATGCATGACGACAACACGATATCAGCTATGTGTGTTGGTTGAAATGTAAATTATGAAACTACAACATGACTAAGCTGTGTGTTTCATTTGTGTGAGGGTGCTTCACCATTGTGTGTTTCACTTATGTGAGGGTGCTTAACCACTGTGTGTTTCACTTGTGTTAGGGTGCTTAACCACTGTGCGGGACACGGTTGACCCAGTCCTCTGAAGCGCAACAATTCACACAAAGCTGACACTCCATGATATAACTGAAATACCGTTTTAAAAAAACACACCTCACAATCTTCTAACTGTGCAGGTCAACTGGGAAACAAACCATATTCACATTTCTTCAGAAGCAAATGCGCCAAAGTTGTGTGTTACATTGTAATCTATACTTTTGCAGGCTTTTCTAGCACACTGCACATCGTCAACGGGGACAGCGGTGTCACATACTTCATGTGTAAGTACATTTGAATCATAGCGATAGCAGTCCGCTCTGCCAGGCAGTCGCATCAGTAGTAAAAAAACACTTCAATGAAACTCAACCTGAATGATAGTGTGTGATCACGCACTGACGTCATGGATCCTTGCTGTCCACTACTGGTGTCTGGCTGTGTGGAGCTGGAACACTACTTAAAGAGACGGAGAACAAGCCATGCATTCGATGATTGTATCCCACTTGTAAAGAGTGAGTGAGTGAGTGAGTGAGGGAGGGAGCAATACTCCAGGTGTATCGTGTACCCTTGTCGGGAAACAAACTTAAGCCACCAGATATGTATTGAAAACGTTAAACTACAACAAACTGTAACAAACAAGTCGATTCACAAATTCACGTAAGAACTATGACATTGTAGATTTCAGTTGATCAGTTCACCTTGTCGAGGAGGTTAATGAGACTGAGAAACATTATTATTGTAAAACACGTTCAGTTAATCGTGTACGTTTATCCGTTAACATTCATCTTCAATACTGTTTCTGAATGCTGTGAGGTGAAATGAGGTTTAACGTTCAAAGTTATTGCTCTTATAGAGCGACGTGCATGTACGTGTGCGCGCGCGCGTTTGTGGCTGCTTGTACAAATCTAGACTAATACCGATATAAAAGTGCTAACTACCGTGCCGCAGTTTAACATGAGTACCCCACAGTATACTGATTCCATCTTTTACTATCATCTTGCCGTAAAAGGCGACTATGCTTGTCATAAAAGGCGACTATGCTTGTCGTAAGAGGTGCGTTTGTGGCTGCTTGTACAAATCTGGACTAATACCGATATAAAAGTGCTAACTACCGTGCCGCAGTTTAACATGATTACCCCACAGTATACTGATTCAATCTTTTACTACCATCTTGCCGTAAAAGGCGACTATGCTTGTCGTAAAAGGCGACTAATAGGATCGAGTGGTCAGGCTCGCTGACTTGGATGATGCATGTCGTCGATCCCAATTGCATGGATCGATGCTCATGATATAAATAACTGGATTGTCTGGTCCATACTCGATTATTTACAGACCGCCGTCATATAGCTGGGATATTGCTGAGTGCGGCGTAAAACAACAAACCAAACAACCAACCATCTTTGAACGTCTTTTGGTATGATGCGGCCGGGTATCGAACCCCGGACCTTTAACTCCCCGCATGGACGCTCTACCATTGGATCACGGAGGCAGTCTGTTTCTGAGTAAAACATAATTTGACATATTGGTTGTAATATTGCATTTCATCCTTTTTGAACACATTATTATACTTTGTGTCAGTGCTAATGGCATATATTATGCGTAAATCCGAAATTCTAATGCGGATTTCAATATCATTGTATTGTCACTTTTAACGCCGCCACAACACTTGTCTGACAATAATTGTAAAGGTTTATAAGTATTAATAAACCCATGTATGGTGATGTACATGCTTATCGTAAGTGTACATATGTGTATGATACTGATGATGAAGGCCGTATCTGTTGCTATGGCAGCAATATTGGGACGGTGGCAGGCTTGTGGTTAAAGCGTCCGATCATCACGCTGAAGACCCGCGTTCGAATTCCCACATGGCTGAAATGTGTAAGGCCCATTTCTGGTATTCTCCGTCGTGATATTACCGGAATATTGAGAAAAGCGGCGTCGGTGTTCAACATTAGAAAACAATTCTGATTACTGATTTCTGAATTTTAGTTCTGGTAAATGGGTTAAAATTTTGATGTTGAATGCAAATCAAAAGAGTTGGAATTCGCTGCCTAGTAGTATAGGTAATGGGGGTTCTGGACCACTTCCACTGGAGCAGGATTCATATACCTATACTGCTACTACAGAGGGAATTATTTATGCCAAAATGATTATGCGATTTAATGATAGTCATGAGATTAAGTTAAATTGGCTCTAGCTCACCAATACCTATGGGCCAATGATACAATTTTTTATAGGTAATAGGGGTTCTGGACCACTTCCACTGGAGCCAGATTTATTACCTATACTGCTACTACAGGTGGATTTTTTATGCCAAAATGATTATGTGATTCAATGATAGTCATGAGTTTGACTCTAGTTCACCAATACCTGGGGCCAATCATTGCTTTAGATGAGTCTAAATGGTAATAAAAATATTCTTTATTATTTTTATCGATAAAGCGATATTCAACATTTTTATTAAGTTCTTCGTTCATTTTACTAGGAGCCCAGACTATATAACTACACTCTTTTTGTAAATTGATAAGAAACAATTGATAACCGTATTTGGTTGGTTTGACATCACTGATATAATAAAAACCTTGTGGTAATTCTTTCCATTTAATAGTTTTTTCCATTATTATATATTTATGTAAGCATTTGTCTAAATGTGATCAAACGATAGTAAACAATCTATTTTTAATCTCCAACCAGTTCTTTGGTTTTGGCACGGAATAATTGACGCGCTTGTTGCCTCCCCTGTTCTATGAACTTTTTTTTCTCGTCTTCGCTAATACCACTGATCTTACGAGATTTTGATCGAATCTCCTGCTTCATTTCGTTGTATTTGGTGAGTTCCGACAGCACTAAACGAAACTCATCCTCGGATATCTTACAATCGGCCATTGCTGTCGAAATATGATCCTCAATGCTGTTCAACTTTGCTTCGGCGAGTATCCGAATACTATCGTGTTTTAATGCTTTCTTTTGTAACCCACGAGAAATGATTTTTATCGCTATTCCTGCCAGTCCCGAGACTCCAGCGGTTATTTCCATGCCGAGCACGATAGGCGCGGCGATTATAGTTGATAGTAAACCGATACCCGCTACACCGAGTCCCATGCCAGATACTACAAGAGCGGTGTCAACTCCGTCCAGAGCATTCACGGCTCTGCGATACTTTTTATACAATCCAAGTCTCAACTCCCTATCCTTCCCTATTCGATGTTTTATGTCGCTTATTTGATGTAATCGAAATCCATCAACAGTTTCCATCTTTTCAAATGCTTCACCGAGCGCCGGATATAAACTCATAGTGTATATAACGATCATATAATAGTCTTTAATTGGTCTTGCTTAAATGTTTTGAGACTATACATCAATCTTATCAAATGTATATTATACGGCAAGAATATCTTAGTAAGAGAAATGCTGTCACTTTTAATAATTTGGACCCCCTCGAGGGTTGCAACGGGCGATGCTCCGATATGAATAATACTGCAACGTTGACGCTCGTGTTTCTTGAGCCATTTAATCGATAGACCTTGTAATATTTCGAAGGCATCTACCGGTGCATCTCCGAACAAGACTTCAATAATAAGAGTAGAAATATTAGGTATTGCACTCAAGTTAACTTAAATATCTTCGAATTCAGTAATCAAATTTAAAGTAACATTTTTTAAGGCCGGACGACTATATAAAATATGACCTGGGTTTTCTGGCAGGGGGGTAACTAACACACTTTTTCGTTTTGACGGGATATAAGCCGCGAGTACGATGCCACTATTTATTATCTTAGTTAAATTATGTCCCTTACCTATCATCACATAAGGTGGGGTAATGACGATATTCAGTAGCCACTCGATGTTTGCTTCAACCATAGCCCATTTATTATCGTCGTTGCGAGTAATATTATACGAAGTGTTTTTAATTAGTCTACTAACGTCGACATCGCTTAAATCTTCTAGATTACCCGTGAATGTGACTTCTTTCTGCTTGTATACATAATCGTGTAAGTGTAAAGCGTATAACTTACCATTGTAACCGGGTTTATCAAATCCTTCTGTGTCTCCGAGATCGGAAAGCGCAATTGTATTACATTGTCTTAGTGTTCCAGGGCCTGATGCATCAACCATTATTTTTAATATGGAGTGTTACACTTAAGTATCCTATATGTACAGGTTGATGTTTTACATCTAATACAGAAATTTTGAGGTCTGAAATAATACCACGCTTCAATTTTTTATATTGTAATGACGAGAAAGATTCCGTTCTGCCGCTATTGTATTTTTCATTTTTCACTGGAACACTTCTGAGCAGAGTTGAAGGACTTTCTAGTTGAATATTATCCGTCGTGCTTATTTGATCAAGATGGATGAACAACTCTTTATAGGGAACTAAATCGGGTAATTTAACATCAGGATGTGTGCCAATTAAGCGACTAAATTCCTCTCTACCTGATTGGTCCAATACAATTATATTTGCATGGTTCCATTTCACTGTCCCAGTTGCCTCATTTTGTGTGAGACTAGCTCCATTAGGCTTTAAAATTTCATCACTGAGTGAGCTTACGCTGTAATACCCATCAGGTATAGTAATGGATTTGCTAGTACCATATGAAGTTAATATAATTATCCTATTATTATTTTTTGCAACATTTATATTGGTCCACCTCGGGTAATACGTTACGTCGCATAGAGCGACTTCGAGTTGTCCATCCGAGTTATCGATAGTACGAAGCAGTTCAATAGACTGACCATTTGTTATTCCCAGGAGTGTAACATACATATCAAATATACAATGATACTATATCATAACTTAACTATGGAATCAACCATTATTTATAATATGGAGTGTTACACTTAAGTATCCTATATGTACAGGTTGGTGTTTTACATCTAATATAGAAATTGTAAGGTCTGAAATAATTCCCCGCTTTAATTTTTTATATTGTAATGTTGAGAAAGATTCCGTTCTACCGCTATTATATTTTTCATTTTTCACTGGAACACATCTGAGTAGAGTTGAAGGACTTTCTTGTTGAATATTATCCGTCGTACTGATCTGATCAAGATGGATACACAACTCTTTATAGGGAACTAAATCGGGTAATGCATATACAGTCACTGTTTTTTTGGGTGGTAATAATGCTGACTGTCCAAGTCCAAGTGTAATTGCTAAGTCCTCGTAAATAATTACACCTTTTTCTCCAGTGTCTATTTTCACTGTCCCAGTCGCCTCATTTTGTGTGATACTAATTCCATTAGACTTAAAAATTTCATCATTGAGTGAGCATACGCTG